TGGGATATAAAAGTTAACTCTTACCTGGGAATATCTGCCTGTTCTTACATTTTCCTTAAAATGAAAAAGAAGTGATTTCATTCCTCAGTTGGCCCTCTTTAGATGGAAACGAATCCTTGGATTGGGTGAAAAATCACTAAGAGACCTTGGAGAATTGCTAAATCCAGGCCATTTGTGTTTGTCTTGCCTGTTTCCCTAGGATAATTAAACAGTGATGGATCAGAATTAGGCTGCAGCAGGGATGGTGGGGGGTGGGGGGAGCGAACTCCCAGCATCCCTTCCCGCAGAAGCGTCAGCCACAGCAATGAGTGTGGCTGCCACTTTAACTGACATGTCTTAAATTCTGCTCTGCGAAGCTCTGGGATGCTGTCCGCAGCCTCAGCAACTTCTCTTCTTATGCCCTTCAATTGAGAGTCTCACTGGCGACCAAGACATAAAACAGAAACCGAGGATTTTTGTTGGCCTTTAAATTGAGGACTGTCTTCTTTCTGTTTGCCTTAAAAAATCTGGTAGAAGAGAGGGAAAGGCATCTCCACAGTGAGCTAGACTCATTCCTCCAAAGTTACAGCTGCTCTAAATCTGTGAGTATGTTGCATTTTTAAAGCTGTTCCTGGGGGTCTGATTGCAACGTTCTGTTTAGATCTGTGAGGATTTAATTTAAGGAAAACCATGAACATTTTAAAAATAGGAGTTGAATCGCATTGGAGACCTACAGGTTTTGTTTGTGGACATTGTCTTTATTAAAGGCTTCATGTCAAGCAGGCCAGGGCTCTCCCCACCCCCCTCCTCCCCTTTTTTGGGCTTCCTGAGGGTGAGTGCTGAGATGGGAGAAAATCGTAAATCTTGCTGCTGCAGAGGATGTGGTCTTCTGGGGATGCCATGGCTGGCTGGCTTACTGCTGCTGCAAGGTGTGCATGGGACTGCAGAACAATGGAAGGGGGATGACAGCCCACTGTGCAGTCACTTCATCCGTCTTATGGCCCTTGCTGGCTTCGTTATAGGGTGTTGTTTTGTTAGGGTGATTAAAACCGTAAGGCAAGATTAAGTACGCTGGCACGTTCTCAGAATAGCTGGGGTTTGTAGTCCTAGACTTTACCTCTCACCGGGAAGCCCTGCATTGGCTTCTCCCCGTGTCTTTGTAGCAGATTACAGGGGGTGGGAATTACTAAAAAGTGACCTTTGCATGACCACCCGTTTTCTAATTGTGCATTTGAATTGGTGCCATTTTTTTCTGATGACGTAGATTCTTTAGCCTAAACATCTGTCCTTAGTCACTGTGTCCTACTTTCCCCCTTTGGAATTCACTGGAGGCTAGAACTGTATCCTTGCTGAATTATTATGGAATCAATTTTGAACATTTTGTTAAGTTTTGGTTCCCATCAAAACCCCCATATGTTCTTGATTTGTCTTGGTTATATGAACAGTCTTATGATTTCAGTGATTCATATCATTTGGTTACGGATCTCATTCCTTTATCTTAAACATCACATTAGCTAAAGCAATTCCTAAAAGTTGGTTTGTTCAGAGATCAGTAGTCAGAATACTTTTAAACAACAACTAGTATCAGTCATCTTTGTAGCTGTAGAATATATTTGACTGAGGGGGACATATTATATGAGCTTTGTGGGTATCAGTATTTTGGTTGATTTCCTGCAGTGTGAAAGAAATCAAGGATTTTAAAAAAGAAACTCTACCACCCAGAGATCAAACATTTGCTGTTTTTATTTTTAAACATTTTGTTAGACCTAAACGTAGGAACTTTGAATTTAATTAGGAAGGATTCCTAAAAATAGGAAATTCTGCCTTACCTAGACTTGTAAGGAACTTACATGTATTCATTTGTTCATTCAATAAAGGTTTATATTTTATATTTGTTGCAAAGCTCTTGCCAGGCTCCCTGGGGGTATGATGCTGAACAAGATATTATATGTGCCCTCATGGAGCAGATATTTTTAGCAGGTGAGGAGAGCATTCAAAACTGCCTCATTATTTCATTACAACTGTGGTAATTTTTCAACTGTGGAAGTGTAGATAGTCTGCGGCCAGACATATACAGAGCATACAGATCCTTGCAACTAATTCTGTCCCAGGTCTTCTGAAGCAACAGATCCTTGGTATACTTGAGCTGGAAAGAGATTGTGAAAATAATTTGATTAGTTCAACAAGTATGTGACAGGCACTGTATTAAGTGCTGGTTTCAGATCAGTAAATAAGAAATGGTCCCCGCTTTGGAGGAGCTTACAGTCTAGTGGGAGGGGAAGGGAAATTGGTTATGCTAGTATGTCTTAGTATCTTACTGATTCATTAATTCAATAAATATTTACTGAGTGCCTGCTGTGATGTTGGGCACTGTTATGGGAACTGTGCTGGGCACCGGGGACGGGGTGGAGAATATGGCAGAGACACCCTGCCGGCTGGAAACTTCGTAAGGGCCACAGTGGAGAAATGATAGGGTGCCATGAGGAATACCCAGGCCAGGCCGAGGACTTCCCTGTCGTTTACTGAGCATCTGCAGTGGGCCAGCCATAGTGGGTATTGTGCCTACATTAATCTTCCCTTCAATCCTGTAAACGACTTAACTATCTCTGTTGTAACAAGCACGTAAACCAAGATACAGAGAGGTGAAATTGCTGAAGGTCACACGGGAAGTGAGTGGAGGAATTAGAACTTGATCCCAGGTGTGACTTGATTTCCAATCTCTGCCCCTTCTGGTGGTCTCCAGACCTGGTTGCTCACCAGTGACCTGAGTTCCAGAGGGAGAACAGTGTTTATTACAGGCTTCCCTGGTGACTGTGGGCAACTAAGTTTAAGAACCCTTCTTCTGGGGCGCCTGGGTGGCTCAGTGGTTAAGCGTCTGCCTTCGGCTCAAGTCATGATCCCAGGGTCCTGGGATCGAGCCCCGCATCGGGCTCCCTGCTTAGTAGGGAGTCTGCTTCTCCCTCTGACCCTCACCCCTCTCATTCTTTCTCTCTCTGTCATTCTCTCTCTCTCAAAAATAAATAAAATTAAAAAAAAAAGGACAAATTTTCCAACATAATTGAAAATATTGAAATACGATGTATTGTTTTTCTTATCCTCTATTAACCCAATAACAGTATTTTTCACTAGCCAGAAATCCATTCCTTCTAACTTATGAATATAACATCTAGGTTATGCTCAGGAGTAGAACAGTCAAGTTATTCTGTTCAGTGAAATTTTTAATAATTGTACTTACTTTGGTGGTATAGATTCTAAAACTGAAGCAGTCTAAGGAGCATTTAGCATGGAGGATATCTGAACCTCAGTGCAGTGTTCCATATATTAGAAACATTTATTGAAGGAAATAAGACCTGAATAAATGTGTGTATGGATGTGAAAATGTAGTATTGTAGAGATAGTATTAAAAAACAAAATTCAGTCTACGGCCATACCACCCTGAACGCGCCCCATCTCGTCTGATCTCGGAAGCTAAGCAGGGTCAGGCCTGGTTAGTCCTTGGATGGGAGACCGCCTGGGAATACCAGGTGCTGTAGGCTAAAAAATCCAAAACAAAACAAAACAAAAAACAAAATTCAGCCTAGTAAATTTGAAGATCTAATTGGCTTTATTAAACAATTCATGAATTGGGCAGCATCCCATCTAACAAGTAGAGAGGAGCTCTGAGGAGTTGTACAAAATGGAAGGATTTTATAGGGAGAAGGGTGGGTCAAGAAAGTTGTTAGCAAAAGGAAAGGATTGTTCCAGGCAAGGTTGCTTTCCCTTGAGGAGGAAGAGTAGCAGGTCTTACCATGCAGATTATCTCATCTTCCTTTGGGGAATGGAAAGGGCCCCTGTGGCCACTCATTACAGACTCGTTGGCCCAGATAAGGAAAATTCCTGACTGACTGGGTAGGACTACTTTTCTGGGGGAGGTTGAAACTAGAATCAGATTAGTTATTAAACCCCAGTTTGGGACTCGCCTAGGAGACACCATTTCCTTTTTTTTTTTTTTTCCATTTTATTTTCATTCTAGCTGCTCAGTGGCTAGAGCTGCTGGGTTCCTGGTATTAAAAAGATGCCAACAGAGGTAGCTGTGTCTCGCCCAGGGGCCAGGCCCACTCTGAATACACGCCCCCAAATAAGGGGCAGGTAACAAATTATGTTAGAGTAACTATGATAAAGCAACTCAATTTGTCGAGAAGAAAAGATTCAGGATAAATTAAACATATAATGGGGGAAACTAGAATATGTCACCCCATGATTTGACCTAAAAATCATTTTGAGCTGAAGGCAATCAAGAAGCAGTAAACACTGGAAAAGCTCCCCCTTTCCTGCCTAAAGGCCAGAAACAAATTCTCCTTTTACTGGAGAAAGACATTTGTATCAGCTTAGACAATCTGCAAACCTTTTTAAAGTAACCCTTGTCTTCCTAGTTACTTATTCTTCATTTACTATTCCAAGCCCCAACCCCTTTGTCTTGCCAATTCTTCACAAATATAAAAGCTTCCTGCTTCTTTGGGGTCTTTGTTCTCTTGTGAAGACTCCCATGTACAGGACGAATTCAGTAAAATTTATATGCTTTTCTCCTGTTCATCTGTCTTTGTCCATTTTATTTTCAGGCCCAGCCAGGGACTCTAAGAGGGTCAAGGAAAACTTTTTCCTTCCTTACAATAATATTCCATTTTAATAAAGTATAGAAATACATGTATAGATTTACTTGGGAAAAGATCTGGGAGGATATTTATATACAGGATACAATGTTGTCTTTGGGTGGAGAGCTGTGGGGGTGATTTAATTTCTTTTTTTGTGTACTAGAATAAACAAAATCAGTTTACTTTATTGGTGCTGTATTTCAGAAATGTTCACCATGTAACAGTACATAGATTTTTGTTATTTGATTTATAAAATTGATTAGACATGGGGGTGAGATGTACTAAATAATTGAAGGGCTTACGTTGTATACTTGAATTTATGTGGACTTTTCCTGTAAGACAAAGAAATAAAAACCTCATTCTGCTTTTTGTTTTTTTTTTTATTAATAGGTTTTCTCGCACAGATATGGCAACAAGCAGCCGTCCCTTTGCATCCTTTGATACAAAACGGGCCTCTGGACGGCTCGGATCGTCTAATGTGAGCAGGTCAGGAAGAGGGTGCAAGTGTTTTCGGGACAACAGGGGAGAGCAGTCCAACCCCTTGGTGAATTGTAATGTTGATGTTAAAACAGGGCTTTGTATTTTACTGACTGGCGAAATAGGCAGGTGTAGTGTCCATTTTACAAATTAGGGAAGGAGAGACAGAGCTGCTAAGGGACATGTGAATGGGTGGCGCTGTTACATAAAAAGAAAACTAAATTCAACATTTGGGGCACAACTCATTGGAGTCTTTTTTATCTTAAAATTTTTTATATCATTGATTTCATTTATAAAATAATATAACCACATTGCCAAGCATCCACCATAAATATGACCTCTTAAACTGTATTCATTCTCGTCTTTTTCCTGGGCATGTGCTTTTATCTGTTATGGATGCAGCCATAGGGTTTTCACTGAATGTTGTAGTATGATTATTTTTCTACTTACATTCTTCTTGTAACCTTGGCTTAAGAGCATTTTAAGAAACATTGACTGTAGAAAATTCAGGAAATACAGAAAAGCACAAAGGAGAGATAAAAATGTATATTACCATCACTGTAACTTTGTGTGTGTGTGTGTGTGTGTATCCTTTCTTTTTCTCTTCATATATAGAGCAAGTCTTTTTTTTTTATTATTGATTGGGATCACATTCGATATACTATTTAGTAACCTGCTTTTTAAAAATTTTATTATTATTTTTTGCCCTGCCCCTCCACCTTATTTTTTGTGCCTGTTTTTAAAAGTTAATGTATCATGACATTTTTCCTTTCCATTAATATTTTTGGTAATATCACATTTGCTAAGTAATATTCCTTTCCTGCCCATTCTAGAATTAATATAATGAGTTCTTTTCGAACATGTATGTTGTTCCTTTATCAGAGATTAAAGGCAACTCTGTGAAAGCTATGTTTTAGTACCATGAGAAAGGGCTTTTTATCTATCCTTATAGGGTTATTAAACTTTAAGTTATATGGCAGATCTGTAGCATTTGAGATTTTGCATTTGAAATTTCAGCTACTTTTAAGTGTGTTTATAACACTCATGAATTCGGCAGTTTGCCTTAGGACTCAGCTCTCACAGTACAACAAAGGGGTGCAATAATTTGAGGATCGATGACTGGAGATGAAGCTGAAAATAACTCCTAAGGATTTTAAGGCATTTATTTTTCACATTATGATTTCATTCCATATGTCACTGCTTATGGAAATCTGAGCTTTCTTTAGAAATATGAGTCTCTCCCTCAGGGTTAACCTCTAACTCATCTGATAGTTTCCTAAGTAACTACTGCATCAACATTTATAGATCTTCTTAGATTTACAGTGGGCTTACATCCCCAATGAGCCCATCATGAATTGAAAATGCCTTTAATAGCCCTAACCTATTGAACATCATAGCTTAGCCTCACCTACCTTAAATGTGCTCAGAACACTTAACATTAGCCTGCAGTTGGGCAAAATCATCAGAACCCATTTCTGGTAGAAGAGTAACTGAAGTGGGATTTTGTTTTCATGTTTGAAGGAATGAATTTGGAGAGGTTGGGGGCATGGAAATTCGACTTTAAGCTCTTTTAAATAAATCATCATACTGCTCATTTACTTACTGAAATATTTTCCTATTAAAAGTTGTTACACAGGGGCGCCTGGGTGGTTTAGTTGGTTAAGCATCCGACTCTTGATCTTAGCTCAGGTCTTGATCTCAGGGTCCTGAGTTCAAGCCCTTTGTCAGGCTCCAGCATGGAGCTTATTTTTTAAAAAAATAAAAAGTTACACAAAACATTTTGTAGAAGGCTCTAATTTTATTTTATTTTATTATTATTATTAATTAGTTTGCTTATTTTGGTGGGTGGGAAGGGCAGAGGCAGAGGGAGAGCGAGAATCTTAAGCAGGCTCCGTGCCCGACACAGGGCTCGATCTCACAACTCTGAGATCATGACCTGAGCTGAAATCAAGTTAGTCACCCTGAGGGCCCTAATTTTAAAGAGCAAAATTTCCATCAGTCATAAATAACAGATAAGTTTTAATAAAGGGTAAAATCATAGTGATTATACAGATGTAAAAATAAACACATTTTAAAGATTTTATTTAACTCATTAATCAGTGAGGGAACTAGGCAGATTTTATAATTGATTCAAAGGAGAAATTGAAACAGCACAAATTTATATGGAGTAAAAGAATGTTGAAATTAATGCCCAAAGTCAGTAAAACTAGCTTCTTGTACAGTGAAGGAGGTAATTGAACCTCTACTAGTCAGGGATAGAATTTGCATATCTATAGACAATTATTTTGCATCACTATCAGTTAAAATTTACAGAGTTGCAATTCAACACTAAAAATACAAAACCGATTAAAAAATGGGTGGAGGACCTGAATAGACATGCAGATGGCCAACAGACACATGAAAAGATGCTCAACCTCACTAATCATTGGAGAAATGCAAATCAAAACCACAATGAGATACCAATTATATCTGTCAGAATGCCTAAAAAAAAAAAAAGCCATAACAAATGTTGGCCAGGATGTGGAGAAAAGGGAGCCCTCGTGCATTATTGGTGGGAATGTAAACTGGTGCGGCTGCTGTGGAAAACCGTATGGAAGTTCCTCAAAAAGGTAAACATAGAAATACCATATGATCCATTTTCACTACTGGGTATTTACCCAAAGAAAACGAAAACACTAATTCAAAAAGATAGATGCACCACATGTTTATTGCACATTATTTACAATAGCCAAGATACTGAACATAGGGACAGCCAAGTGTCCAGCCGTAGATACATGGACAAGGAAGATGTGGTGTATGTGTACAATGGAATATCACTCAGCTGTAAAAAAGAATGATACCTTGCCATTTGCAACAGCATAGATGGACCTAGAGGGTATAATGTTAAGTGAAATAAGTCAGACTGAGAAAGACAAATACCATGTGATTTCACTTACGTGTGGAATCTAAAAAACAAAACAAATGGATAAACAAACAAAATGCAGAATCAGACCCATAAATATGGAAAACAAACTGATGGTTGCTAGAGGGAAGGGGGGGTGGGTGGATGGGCAAAATGGGTGAAGGAGAGTGGGAGATACAGGCTTCCACTTAGGTAATAAGTCGTGGGAATAAAAAGCACAGCATAGGGAATATAGTCCGTGATATTAGAAAAGCATTGTATGGTGACAGATGGTAGCTACATTTGTGGCGAGAATAGCGTAACTATAGAAAAGTTGAATCACTGTTGTACACCTGAAACTTATGAAACATTGTGTGTCCACTATACTCTAATTTAAAAAGAGAACACCGTAGAGTTGCAAGTCAGTTCCCTAGAATCAAAAAGCAATCCGAAGGGGTCTCTTCTACAGTATAGAGAATCATGCATAGTTTTCCGCTGACGCACATTTTCTCCCCCTACATGATCAAACTAAAACGCAATAACTTTCCCTCTCCTGTGAGTAAAGGTAGTTCCCATGCTTGTGGTCTTTGTGCCTGCTATGAGCCTTGTTTGTCAGTTTCTTCCATCCTCACAACAGCTTCATGAAGTAGGCAGTGGTGGTGTTCCCATTTTACAGATGAGCAAGTCAGGCTTCAGAAAGTTAAAGACATTGCTACTAAGTGGTAGAGTTAGAACTCCGGCCTTTCTGTCTCCAAAGTGTACGTAAACACACACGTGCAGCAACGTGCTAATAGTAAAAGCTATAGAAATTCTGTGTATTTTTTCTTGGTCTTTAGGTCAACATCAAACAAGGTGGATCTCAAGTGTGGCCTAGAAGAATGTGCGGTGGCATTGAACTTATTTCTAAGTAACAAATTTACAGATGCCTTAGAATTGCTTCGACCGTGGTAATTAACTGTATTTCTTTCAGATAAAATATATTTTTTTCAGATGTTTCTGATGATTCTTTCTTTGATGTCATGATTGTCAGTTAATTTATCTGCATTTCCGCCTGAATATTTCTAAGCTAATTTGGTTGAGACCCCCTAATTTGGTTGGTCAGTTTTAATATCCAGTTAAGAAATCTGTCTTTTCAAATTTAATCAGTAGAAAGTTTCTGATTCTTTCTCATATTTTAATTTCTATTTGTGTTCAAATATTGTCATTGTATGTAGTTTTGTAGAGCTTCCTTTTGCTTTTTTCAGTGAAATGTTTTTTTTTTATAAAGATTTTATTTATTTATTTGAGAGAGAGAATGAGACAGAGAGAGAGCATGAGAGGGGGGAGGATCAGAGGGAGAAGCAGACTCCCTGCTGAGCAGGGAGTCCGATGTGGGACTGGATCCCGGGACTCCGGGATCATGACCTGAGCCGAAGGCAGTCGCTTAACCAACTGAGCCACCCAGGCGCCCCCAGTGAAATGTTTTTATGGATATGCCTCTAAAGCTTAAATATCATTGGAAAAAGTTTCCTTTGAAATGGGGTAAAAAGAACTAGACTATGCTAATCTCAAATGTTAAAAAGAAATTTAAAATAATAAAAAATGTTATTAGGACTCCCTATTTATGTGATAAACAAGTTAAGCAGTTTAATTTCAGCTAATAATACCTGTTCATTTTTCAAATGTGGCATCAACACCCGGGCCCAGCCCTGATACCAGCGTCACCTTGACCACAGTCCGCAGCTCTACAGTGTGCCTGGAGCTTGACAGGAATAATCTTACGTTGTGCCTTCAAACACAGTCACTTGCTTGGGTGAAGCTTAGACCTTATATAACAGTTTTTTAGAAGGTTACTTGGGCACAATAGTGGGAATCTTATTTCTTTGGTCAGTAGGGGATGTGATTTTGATCATAGACTTTCAGTCTTACTACACTCATGGTGGTGAGCATTGCATAATGTATAGAATTGCCGAATCACTATGTCATACACCTGAAATGTATGTCAACTGCACACCACAATTAAAAAAAAATTACATTACCTCCTGAGAAGCTGCTGTGGTAATTCTACTTTGATGTAGAGGAGCTGTGGTCAATGAGTATTTCAGAGGTTAGGAACAGATGTAGATGGTACAGTGCACAGCTGAAGGAAATTGTCCAGCGTTGTCTTCAGCACTTGTCTGCCCTGCCTGTCTCCTGCTTCATTTCCCTCCGTCCTTGCCAGTCCCTCAGACTTCTTTCTCTCTCCATCTTCTGTCTCTACTTCTCTGTCTTCCTCTCTCAACCTGCCTGCCTGTCTCCTTTGTGTTTTTATTCACACAGGTCTCCTTTTTTCTCTGTCTCAGACACCCAGCTGGTCATAACATGGAATGAAAAGAAGTGATTATTTTATTTGGTCAAATTTTATATTCTCTGATCGTTATGCAAGTTTCACTGTTAAACATATGTTTTTCCCACCTGAATCGTTTTCCTCTTGGAGCTTTTGGTTTAAAATGTGAGGTTTAAAACCACAATAAATGATTAACTTTAGGCTGATCTTAACTCCTTGCAGGGTTTTTTTTGAACAGCCAGTGACCTCACTAGTCAGGACAAACTGCGAATTACCAAAGGATGTTTAGACTATTTCCATGGGGGAAAAGAATAATGTGGCCAGCATTTGTTTTGCATAGCCGTGGGCTGTTGTGCATTATATTTGAATTAAAAACAAAATCATGCATTAATATTTTAAATCTTATAACAGATTGACCTAATGAGAAGTTTTGAGAAAGAAATGGTGAGGTTTTCACAGCCCGAAAGTCTGGGATGTGCCATACATTAAGACTAATTAATGCCCTTAAGAATCCAAGCAATTCTCAGGGCGCCTGGGTGGCTCAGTTGGTGAAGACTCTGCCTTCAGCTCAGGTCATGATCCCGGAGTCCCGGGATCAAGCCCCATGTCAGGCTCCCTGCTCAGTGGGGAGTCTGCTTCTCCCTCTGCCCTTCACCCCCCTCGTGCTCTCTCGCTCTCTCGCTCTCTCAAATAAGTAAATAAAATCTTTAAAAAAAAAAAAATCCAAGCAATTCTCAACTGATAATTTAGTAATTGGAATTGTCAAGAACTTTAATAAGGAATTGTAGATAATGGGATTAGATTAGATATGAGCTCTAAAATGTACTTTGCCTGGGCCCATTGTGGCTCACCTAATTTATTGCAAAAATCTTGCTTTTCTTTGGCCTCTGGCTGGGAATGGAAAGGAGCTTTTTTTTTTTTTAAATGAGTATCTGAAAATACATCAAAATCTCTCTGTCACAAAATGCATTTCCAGTGGCCTTTATTTTAGTACTTATATCAGAGCTAAAGATAGTAAGTATATTGCCTGGTGTTCAACTGGGAAAAATTGGTTTGCTTTGAAATGTTTTCAAGGAAAAGAATCCGCAGGCTGCCCTCTTGTGCTGAAACAGGGCAAAACAATTGTCGGCTTCTGCTTTAACCTGGAACATTCTGTGCTGCCTCTGTAGGCTTAATTTGGAAAGTCCTTAATACTTGAGTTTTTTAGGACATGCCTTTCTCAGTCTATATTATTTCAGTGATCATGGTGTAGGAGTAAAAGTTATCACTATCAAAGTCACTATCATGCATTTACTAGGATTTCTCCTGATTAGTATCAGATAAGACATGCATGCTTTTAAGTTGAGTTGGGATGTATTAATTCCCTGTGTTTTGCCCCCAGGGCTAAGGAGAGTATGTACCATGCCTTGGGCTACAGTACTATTGTGGTGTTGCAGGCGGTCATGACCTTCGAGCAACAGGACATCCAAAACGGCATTTCTGCCATGAAGGACGCATTACAAACCTGCCAAAAGTATGAACTGAGTAATTAAATTCTTGAGATACAACTACAAACCTTTATGTCTGTGTGACAAAGTGAGTGTGGTTTGCCTGATGGAGAGAGCTCTGTTTGAGGTTCGCCCCAATTGTAGTAAGGGGCTTGTACTTCAAAGCTTCCTAGACTCACATAGTTCTATGTAATAGAGTTAAAATTTCCTGTTAGGAATTATAGTTGATTCTTGTTTGGCCAAACACTTGGCATCTATACCTCCACCTTTTTCTTTTTCCTTTCTTTTCTTTCCCTCTCTCCCTCCCTCCCTCCCTCCCTCCCTCCCTCCCTCCCTTCCTTCCTTCCTTCCTTCCTTCTTCCTTCCGTAACTTGAGCCACAGAGAAGAACTGAGGGAGATGTCTGTGGGGTCAGCAGCATGCATCTCTCAAGGGTCTCCCTGGGGTGGATGATTTCAGCTACTGCCTGCCACGCGAGGCCAAGCAAGGAACACTCTTCTTTTATGTGGGAGATGCTGCCTATTCAGAAGGGAGAGCTGTATTTGTCTAAAAGGACATTTTTGAACACTTCTGGTTGGTGAAAATGAGACGGATTTTCAGTTTTATTTTAATCTTTGCTCTGTGTGTAGAGCAAGACCCCAGCAACAGCTGTTAACTAGCATTGGTGAAGTTTAACATGAAACTATGTATCCTCATGTAATTATGTTGCAACCCTACAAATGAAGAGAGTTTCTAAATGCTGCCCTCTAAGTGATTCCTAATCTGTGGATGCCTCTTACTCCAGAAATATCAATTTCAGCCATACAGATAAGGGCAGGTGCTTGGCAGGGTTAGCTGCCATTCATTGTTTTGTGTGGGTTTGTCCACACGTGTCCAGTAAGCACGGATGGAGTGCCCACAGGATGCCAGCCCAGTGCTGGGCGCTGGGTGTGCGGTGTTGAAAAGGGTGGTCTCTGCGCTACAGACTTCAGGATTTAGAGTTTCTCCTTGGTAACTCTTTGGTGTGACTGTGACAAAAATGAATGTCAAAGGAAAATGAGCCTGGCCTGATTTATTGTCGTTTTTTCTTTCTATTTCCCATCTCCCCTTCTGCTTATTCTCCACAGATACAGGAAAAAATGCACGGTTGTAGAATCTTTCTCAAGTCTTCTTTCTAGAGGATCACTGGAACAGCTGACTGAAGGTGAGACTCATTTAAAGATGAAGTTTTTCCTGTCTTTGAAAATTAAAACATGATCATACTCATAAAATTCAGTACTTAAGTGTAGCATAAAAAGGAAATGGAAAATCTTTTTCTCTTTCCCATCATACTCACCCTGCAGAAGTAATCACTGGCAATAGTTGGATTAATGGCCCAGGATTCCCCACGTAGCAGAGCGGGATTCAAAGCTGATCTGCCTATCTGTAAGCCACAGTTCTTTCCACTGTACCCCACACTTTCTCTGATAGGCTTGTAGAAAAGGGAACAAAATGTTCACATATGGATGAGGGAAATGTTGAATCATTCCTATGTAGACATCTTGAAAGTAGATGGTGCTGCGTTCTTATCTTTTTATAATGTTTTTGTACATGGCTCTTTAGAAAATCAGGAATAATTTACTTATTTACTTATTACTAACTATTAAAAAAGAAAACAAACTGAGTTCTATTAGAATGTCCATAACCCAGAAAATCTGGAGTAATTTACTTATTTGCTTATTACTAATTATTAAAAAAGAAAACAAACTGAGTTCTATTAGAATGTCCATAACCCAGAAAATCTGGAGTAATTTACTTATTTGCTTATTACTAATTATTAAAAAAGAAAACAAACAATGAGATACTGCTGTACACCTATTAGAATGTCCATAATCTAAAATACCGACAACACCAAATGTTGGCAAAGATGTAGAGTAAAAGGAACTCTTATTCATGGCTGGTGGGAATGCAAAATTGTACAGCTACTTTGGGAGATAGTTTGGCAATTTCTTACAAAACTAAACATACTTTGACCATAAATCCAGTAATCAGTCTCCTTAATATTTACCCAAAGGAGCTGAAAACTTATGTCTGCATGTGGATGTTTACAGCAGCTTTATTTATAATTGCCAAAACTTGTAAGCAACCAAGATATCCTTCAATAGGTGAATGGATAAATAAACTGTGGTACATCCAGACAAATGGAATATTATTTAGTGCTAAAAAGAAATGAACTCTCAAGCCATGAAAAGACATGGAGTGACTTTAAATGTATATTACTGAGTGAAAGACACCAATCTGAAAAGGTGTCCTGCTGTATGATTCCAAGCATATGACATTCTGGAAAGAGCAAAACTGTGGGGATGGTGACAAGATCAGTGGTTGCCGAGGGATGGGGTGTAGGGATGAATAGGTGGAGCACAGAGGATTTTTAGGATAGTGGAAAAACTTTGTATGATATCATAATGATGGATACATGTCTTTATACATTTGTCCACACCCATAGAACATACATCACCAAGAAGGAACTGTAACATAAACTATGGATGTTGGGTGATTATGTGTCAACAGAAGTTCATCAGTTCATCAGGGGGAGGTTAAGCATGCATGGGGCAAGGGATACATGGGCAATTTCTGTACCTTCTCCTCAATTTTGCTGCCAACCTAAAACTGCCTTAAAAATAGTCTTAATTAGAAAACAGTAAACATAAAATTAGCTTGTGACAATAGCATATTCTGAAAAACAGGTTTACTTAGACTTTTACATCCAAAGGCATGCTTAGCTAACATTTTAGCACAAGGTGAAGCTATTTCCTTCAGTAGACTAAGGAATTTATAATTAAGAGATGTTCTGGTAAGGTACCTATTCAAAAATGCCAAATGGTTAATTTTGAGAACTGGGGAACTGTCCAATATAAATCAACCAGAGTGAAGGAATACGACTTTTATAAATTAAGTTGCATTTTATTTCTAATGAGTTTGGCTGTCACTGCAACCCAAACAGACTTTATGTTCAAGGGTGCATGTCAAAACATTGTAGCTTTAGTATGTGATTTGTTTTTCCTCTTGGTAATATTCATTTACATCCTTGAGTGGCTGGTTGTCTGCAGGAGTCAGTATATTTAATTAAACTTTTTGTGGGTTTAACATGGAACACACCCTTTCTTCTCTCGGGGCTGGCATATTGCCCTGAATGGTTTTCTAGTTTCCTTTAAAAGCAGATGTGTAAATGCAATACTTAGGATGTGAAAGGGATTTAACATGAAGGATGCTTACATATGGTATACAGAGTTCAAATTTTCTTGCCGTTTATCTCTGCCTTCTTGTCACGTCCTTCAGCTGCTCTGTGGTGTGTTCATCTTTAACTTAACCCTGATGCAGCCATTCCTTCTGCTCAGACCTCTGCACAGACTCAGAAGGACCGAGACCCTGGCTGGTGACGGCCGCCAGGATGTGCACAGGCCCTGACTCCGCAAGGCTGACCCCATCTGTAGGCAGGCCGCTGAAGGCCCTGACTCCGCAAGGCTGGCCCCACCTGTAGGCAGGCCGCTGAAGGATCTTCACCGCCTAGTTGCTTCTTTGTAAATTCAGCCTTTGGCATATGAGCGTGGTAGTGATTGGAACCAGTTTGTGAGAACCAACCTGTTGTGTGTCGGATGGCAGGGATAGGGGATGGGGTCTGTGTGTGTGAATGCAAGAAATACAGCGCTAGTCCTTATCCACTTTGACCCAACAGCATTCTCACAAACACAGAAGGACCCTATTTTTCAGCTACTTACTTCACATAAAAATGTCCTGCTTTCTGAGCTTTTACCAAAAAGCCCAACGTGGACCAAGGGCAATAATTGTACCGAAAGTAGCTAACAAAAATCCAGTGCTTACGCTCCACAGTGAGCTCTGTGCAGCACGTCATTTGATTCTTTAGCTGTGAAGTGAAGACGTTACTAGCTGGACTTTATAAATGAGGTGGCCAGCAGCAGAGAGAGGTGGATACCCACAACATGGCAGAACCTTTCCTCCAACCCAGGCTGTTAAATCCCCCAAGCTCATTTACTTAAATAAAATGCCAGTTTGCATCCCATGGGTAAAACAGGAATCTGCTGATTTTGTTTATGCAAAAATGCAAAGGTTTCCCTCCCACCCCAATCTCTGCAAGTGTAAGGTATTGTTTAGAAAGACAGGCCATGTGTTTTGGGGCATTCCATATGTCCCTGGGATATACATAGCTTTACAGAGTCCCTTTTGTGAGTGCCTTGTTCCTGTGCTAGATAGCTCAGTGATCAAAATAGCCTGAAATTGTGCTAGTGTGAGCTCTTTTTATATCATGTCTTCTATGTGTGAGGAGTCATGCCTTGGGCGTGCTGGTCCATACTTGTTCACAGACCTCAGAGAATTGCTGCTTTCTCTTTAAGTTAATGGGGTGTCTAATCATTGCCATGATTTTCATACCTTCGTATTTTAGAAGCTAGAATTCATAAATTTAAGATAGTTTTTTCAATCTCTATAACTGTGTTAAACTTACGTGTTACTGTTAAGTTAAAAAATATTTTTTTTAAGTACTTTTAAATTTTGGTTTCCTCTTGTGAGCTGAGTTTAGGTCTCTGGCGCTAAGCACCTGACTCTTTGCAGTTATATTTGAATGGGGCCAAAGATGACTTCCTTAAATCCTTTTACACATTCTAGGGAAATCTTGCCAAGGGACAGAGAACCGAGGTCATCATTCTGCTTTTATGGAAGTACCAAAGCAACCTAGATTTTTGTGTCTCTCTTGGGTTCTTTGAGCTACGAGTCTTTCCTGAACATCTCAGAGCAATTACTGTGGACATAGGATTTTCCTTAATGTAATTTTATTTGTTTTTAATAGAGGAAATGCATGCCGAAATCTGTTATGCCGAGTGTCTCCTACAGAAAGCAGCACTCACGTTTGTGCAGGTAATAAATGTTTGGCTTCGAATCAGTATGTCGGGGAAGCCTGCCAGTACTACACAGAAAAAATGGGGCTCATTCTATGTCAGTGCTTCAGTTCTTTTGACTTAGACTTGTAATGGAAGATACTTGTTGTTCTGATAAACTTTGACTGGAAAATGACCCCAGGGAGCTTTGTTCCTACTCAAATGCACTTGGAGTCTGTTCCAAATTTCAGTCTATTGGGAACCACTGTCTTATAAAGGAACTGTTTTGCAACTAGTGCACCGAATTTCTGGATGCTTCTCTGTATGAGAAGTGTGGGATTATCCCTCTTTGCATTTGCTAATGGTAGAGGGCTATAGGCCCCGGGCCAAAGAGGCATTTTCATCCTTGGCCATTCCCTTCTTACACCAGATGCTTTAGCAAAGCTCAGGTATGCATGCTTGAGTGCCAGGCTTTTCATATATACTTCAAATTTTATTTTTGCCCCTCTTTCTAGTCTCATGCCCCTTTCTTGCTTTTATTTCTTCCTTTGGAAGAGCAGATTTAAAAAGTCATTAAACCAAGCCATGAATACCTTTCTTTAAGGGACATTTTAACTTTACCTCTAGGAACTGTTACAACCAGTGCCTTGCCTAACATTGTATCTTCCAATCCTTCTAAAAAACATGGATTTTAACATCATGGCCCCATGGGTGGCGGTGATGGGTACATTGGGGGTAGAGGTAGGGTCAGGATTGTAAGGGAGCAGAAATGCAATTGTAAAATTGAAAATCTTCCTCAATCACAATGTTTTACATTGTATTAAGAGTTGCTTTCCTTTTTTTTTTTTTTTCCTGGAGATTGACTTCTTAGGTTGGATTCTGGTTTAGTAAAATTGAACCAATCTGGTCTATGACCCTGTTTCCTAAAACCCTATGTATTATGAAGTCTGGTTGAAAACCTCATTCTTACTGCCTCAGGAAACATAATGCCAGTCATGGAGGCCCTCCAGTTTTTCTGATGTGTTTTCCAAATGGGGATTTGACAAATCTGGGATTTAAAGTCTTATTTTGTATGCGGAGACTTGTAATTAAACATCTGGGAGATATCCAAGACTCCTCCCTCTTCCTCATGCCTCCATATCCAATTTAATGCTCATGTTTCTTTTACCTTGTGAAGATTTAGCAGTGCCATCTCTTCCTTCTTGAGTGTTTTCATGGGGGTGTTTATCAGCTCTTCTCTAGAGGGCACAGCGACCTAGTGACCCTCTGGCTCTATTTCTCTTAACCTCCAGCTCATTGTCCATTGTGCAGCTGAGCGCCCTCTCAGGGATGAGACTGTCACCTTGTCATTGCTCTGCTTTAGCTTTGAGTCGCTCTCACGGACTATGGCAGTGGTCCCGTATCAGAATATCAGCAAGGTGGGGGGGAGGCTTTTTCAAACTAAACTGGTATCTTCTCCCACATTCCCTCCTCCCCTCTTACCCCACGGGAAGAGGTAGCTTTCTTACTCCTTCGTTCTGTCTTTGTGGGAGCTTCTGTGGCAGCGCTGACTTACGTAAGCACAGATGGCCAAGCATGCCATGATCGTTAATGCTTCCTTGCCTTTCCTTCCGCTTGAGTATTCCCTGGCTCGCAAGGTTCGCATCTGCTTTGCCTTCCTTCATCTGGCCACTTCCTAATCATTTTTTGTGCCTTAAGCCCCGATGCTTCCAGGAAGCTTCTGTGGACCTCTCCATGTCACCCCCTCCCCTGCTCTGAGCTCTCCTGACCTCCTGTGCATATCTCCTTCTGTGTGCATGACTCCAGCCCTTAGCACCTTGTATTGCTTTTGTCTGATGTTGCATTCAGATGCCTGGTGTAAAATAGGCATTCGGTAAATATTTGGTGAATCATGAAACGAAATATTATTATTTGAGGCAGATTTTAATGTGATTTTGGAAATTCTTTTCTGGCCAATCTTGAAACTTGTGTAATCATAAGATTCCTTAAATAAGAAGATAAACATTTAAGTTGTGTAGTGAATTTTGTATTTATTGATTCTTAAAATAATTTAAATGGTAAAGATTTAATACTTAATGAAATTTGTAAGCTAAAGTAAATTTTCCTCTTGCTTTAGAAGGATGCTGAAGTGCACAGGAAATAAATACCAGAGCATCTCTCCATTATCAATAGACTAGAAAAATATTCTCCTTGGAAATATGAAATATGGGACTGTCTCCATTAACATTGTTAGATTAACTTCTTTTAAGCAGGTTTTGATATAATTTCTTAAGAGATTCTCGTGGAATCCTAGAATGCTGACCCTGAAAATGATATTCATTTAGGCCCTCTGCCTCTGCCACGCTGTGGTTGATGACCATCAGGCAAAGAAAAGTGAAATGATTTTTTTTTTCTCCAAAACAAAACTGCATATTGTGACAATCAGTTTAGAATCCAGATCAATAATTTTTGTTCTAGAAATGTATATGAGTGAAATTTACAGTGTTAAATAGACTGAATGCTAAAGTACCCTGCAAAAGAAGAACCGTCATCCCATTTGCTGGAGTGTGATGGACTGGAAAGTCCTTAGAGCATATCCTTAAATCACCCATTTTAGATTCTGTTGAACCCAGAAGAAAATTGCGCATTAGATGATGTTTATCACAGTAGATTTGGACTAACATATTTGGTCACTAAGTGGGTTACTTCCTTAATTACTTGCTTGAAGTAATGCAAAGATTTTTTAAATGTGTTCTTTTTATTGCCATCTAAGTTGGAAGGAAAATTACAGAAAAGCATTTCAAATGTAAAGCAAGAAGAATGTTTTAATTTAAAAATTATGTCCTCAAAAGATAGTGTTTTGTTCTAATCACACAAATATATAACTGTATAGTGTAAGAATCTTTTGCTAAGTGATCTAATTATTTAACTGAATTGTTTTCAGGATGAAAATATGATCAACTTCATCAAAGGTGGACTCAAAATTAGGACAAGTTACCAAATATATAAGTAAGTTAAAAATTAAGATGTTGTTTTTAAATGATTCTTGTATTCTGTCCAGTTTGTACTTCAAAATTCTCATGAAGTATGACTAGGTTTTATTTGCTGTTGGTAAAAATGAACTTGATTTTTTGGCTTACTGTGTATGTATTCAGTGCTATAGGACAACAGAATTTAAGTTTAAATGCAATCTTGAAAAAAATAGCTGAAAAAAAGCTACTGACATAATTTCTAATTACATAATCTTAGTTTCTCTCTCCTAAAATCAATTTATAAATTTAAAATTATAGGTATGTCTTTGGTCCAGACTCTACAGCAGTACTGCTCGATAGAATTTTCTGCAGTGATTCAAAGGTGGACCATAGTGTTGTCCGTATCTTCTATATCCTTATTGATTTTTATCTAGTTGCTCTATCATTTGCTCACAGAGTTCAAAATCTCCAACTTTGATTCTGGGATCACCCATTTCTCTCTCTTTAGTTCTGTCAGTGTTTGCATTGTATATTTAGAGCCTCTGTTATTAGGTTTATATATATTTTAATTATTTTATCTTCCTAATGAATTAACCTTTTTATCATTATGAAATGTCTCTACTTAACTCTTATAATAAATATTTGTCTTGAAGTCTGTTTTGTCTGATATTAATATAGCTACTCATGCGTTTTTATAATTAGTGGTAAGTGTAGCATGACATATATTCTTATACTTTAAACCTATCTTTGTTTTTATATTTTAATTGCAGTTCTTATAGATGCATATAGTTGGGTCTTGCTTTTTTATTCAGTATAACAAATGATATGTTTGCACTTCCGGCTACCATTTTTCTTGTTCTCTTGCCTCATTTAGTTTTCTCACTTCTTTTTTGCCTTTTATTGCATTACTAAAATTTAAAATATATATATATATTCCAATGTAATCAATCACTCTATTGTTTTCTAAGCTTACCTCTTTAATTTTTTTAAAGGTCACTCTAGTGATTATAATATCCTTCTTAACTTACCACAGTCAACTTAGAGTTAATATTGTACTATTGCCCATGAAATATAAGAACTTTGTGAAAATATAGTTTCATTGACCACTTGTCTTTTATAGTATTCTTATGATAGTACACTTACATATATTATAAGCCCCACAATGCAGTGTCAGATTTTTTTCATAAAGACTTATTTATTTGAGAGAGAGCGAGAGCATGTGTGGTGCGCCCAAGCATGTGGGGAGGGGCAGAGGGAGAGAATCTTCAAGCAGACTCCCCCCGAGCACAGAGCCCAACTTGGGGCTCAGTCTCATGACCCATGAGATCACTACTTGAGCCAAAACCAAGAGTCGGACACTTGACCAACTGAACCACCCAGTTGCCACAACAATAGGACTGTGGCTTTCTGTATCAGTTCTAGGCATCCCACGTTGAGTGGATTCGAGAGTACTTTCAGCTGACTAGCCATGTAAATGTAAAGTCCGTGTGAGAGATGTTCCCATCTTTCAAAGTTCAGCTCTTCTCCAGTTTCTTACTACTTTTTGTTTTCACTTTCCAGTGCCTGAAAATGCATTTTAAATATATATTTAAATTCCAAAGTTCTAATTGTTATCTGTGGGAAGGTTAATCTAATATAAGCTAGTATGTGTGTCATTATTAGACGCAGATCCCCGTTAGTGAGAGCAGAACCAAGATTTAGTATTTTTTTTTAAAGATTTTATTTATTTATTTGAGACAGAGAGAATGAGAGAGAGAGAGAGCACATGGGAGGGGGGAGGGTCAGAGGGAGAAGCAGGCTCCCCGCCGAGCAGGGAGCCCGATGCAGGACTCGATCCTGGGACTCCAGGATCATGACCTGAGCTGAAGGCAGTCACTTAGCCAACTAGCCACCCAGGCGCCCCAAGATTTAGTATTTTAAGAGACAGTTTTACCCAAAGTGATTTCATAAAATTATATTCCATTCAAAATCATGGAGGTAGGGGGGAGTTTTGGGAAATTGACCAATTGTTTTTAGTTTTTCTCTTGAAATACTTCTTTTTTTTTTAAAAGGTTTTTTTTTTTCTTTTTCTTTTATTTGACAGAGAGAGAGAGAGAGAGCACACACACAAGCAGAGGGTGCAGGAGAGGGAGAAGCAGGCTCCCTGCTGAGCAAGGAGCCCAATGCAGGGCTCAATCCCAGGACCCTGGGATCATGACCTGAGCCGAAGGCAGACGCTTAACTGGCTGAGCCACCCAGGTGCCCTTCTTGAAATACTTTTTAGATGCTATGGATGCCTGGGTGGCTTAGTCGGTTAAGTATCTGCCTTCGGCTCTGGTCATGATCCCAGGGTGCTGGGATCGAGTCCAGCATTGGGCTCCCTGCTCCGTGGCAAACCTGCTTCTCCCTCTGCCTCTGCTTCCCTCTCTCTCTCTCTCTCTCTCCCTCTCTCTCTGTCTCTCATGAATAAATAAATAAAATCTTTGAGAAAAAAAAGAAATACTTTTAGATGATATAAAAGGATGTTAAAGAGCTAATTGCTTTTCTAGTCATCAAAACTTAAAAACTGGAATGAATTCAAGTAGTCTTAAAATGGCACAAACCTATCTGTGTGCAGGCATGTACTTTTGTACATACAGACAGACATTTACTTGGGAATTAAAAATATGTGAAATTCCTATGTATACATAGGTCTCTTTCAAAATAGTGGGAAAAAATAGATACTTTTTGGGAAAATTGGTTCTTCATTCTGGAAAAAGAAAGCATGAAAATAAATTCCATGTATATTTAATATTAAAAATTTTTTTAAGGGTGCCTGGGTAGCTCAGTTGGTTAAGCGACTGCCTTCAGCTCGGGTCATGATCCTGGAGTCCCAGGATCGAGTCCCACATCAGGCTCCCTGCTCAGCAGAGAGTCTGCTTCTCCCTCTGACCCTCGCCCCTCTCATGCTCTCTCTCATTCTCTCTTTCTCATTTATTTATGTGAGAGAGAGAGAGCACACGTGAGCAGGAGGGGTAGAGGGAGGAGGAGAGAGAGAGAGAATCTCCAGCAGACTGTGCTGAGCGGAGCCCAACACAGGGCTCAGTCTCACAACCCTGAGATCACGACCTGAGTTGAAACCAGGAGTTGGATGCTTAACTGACTGAGCCACCCAGGCTTCTCTAATATTAAAATATTTTTCAAAGGGTAGTAGTGAAAACATAAGGAAAATATTTTTTATGGTCTAAAGCACAAAAGCCTTTAAACTTTTATTTAAAATTTTTTCACTTTGAAATAACTTCAGGATTTTTACAAAGAATTTTTATATATTCTTCATCCAGAGTCACAAATGTTAACATCTTATAGAACCACAGTAATAATTATTAAAACCAAGAAACTGACATTGATATGGTATTATCAATTACTCCACTGATTTTACTCTGATTTCTCTAATTGTCCCACTAATGTCCTCTTTCTGGCCCAGAATTGAATCCAGGGTTGGGGATGTTACATTTAGTTGTTATGTTTCTTTACTCTTTTTAAATCTGGAAGCGTCCCTCACTCAGTCTTTCTTTATTTTTATAATCTTGACATTTTTGAAGTATACTGGGCAGTTACTTTGTAGAATGTCTCTCAGTAGGGACTAATCTAATGTTTCTTCATGATTACATCCAGATTTTGCATCTATGGCAAGAATACCATACAAGTGATATTGTGTCTTTCCATAGTGTATCGTATCATTAGATATATGGTGTCAATTTCAGAAGCCTTTTTGAGTGTGACATAAAATCAGGAACCATAAAAGACTGACTTGACCAAATAAACATTTCAGTTTTCGTCAGGGCAAAATATACCATAATAAAAAATACAAATGGAAATGTGATACAAATGACTCAGGGAAAATGACAGTGTGAGGACCTCATAAGTTGGTGGGAATCTAAATTGATAGAGTTTTCCTAAAGGATGTTCCGACAGTATGTATCAAAATTAAGAAAGTGTATCACCTTTGATCTCAGAAGTCCCTTTTCTAGGAATTTATCCTAAGGATAGTTGTGATAGATTAACTATAATTACAGTACTTGATGTAGGAAAAGTACTTGATGAATGTACAAGCACACTTTTAGCAACATTGTTTATAATATGGAAAATTTGGAAACAATGTACATATTTAACAATGGAATTTGGTTAAATAAATTATTCCATAGAATAAGATAATATGCACTTGTTAAAAATAAGGTAGCTCTCATGCATTTTCATGGAAAAATCATCAATATAACTTACAGGACAGTATATACTATATGATCCCATTTGTGGTTTTTAAAGATTGGATTCTTACTAAAGCATAAAACCACCTAGAAGGTTATGTACCAGGCTGTTAACAGTGACCATCTCTCTGTGGGATAGTCATGCAGGGGCACTTAACGCTGTCTCCATGTTATTTGAAAATTTTGTAACAATCATCTATTATCAGAAAATAGAACATTTATCACCCAGCCACCCCATCCCTCCCATCCCCCCACCACTCCAGCAACCCTCAGTTTGTTTCCTGAGATTAAGAATTCCTCATATCGGTGGGTCATATTGAATCACAGACCTGTACCTCTGAAACAAATAATACATTATATGTTAAAAAAAAAAAAAAAGAAGAAGAAGAAGACAGCAGGAGGGGAAGAATTAAGAGGGGGAAATCAGAGGGGGAGATGAACCATGAACTATGGACTCTGAGAAACAAACTGAGGGTTCTAGAGAGAAGGGAGGTGGGGGGATGGGTTAGCCTGGTGCTGGGTATCAAAGAGGGCACGTTCTGCATGGAGCACCGGGTGTTATACGCAAACAATGAATCATGGAACACGACATCAAAAACAAATGATGTAATGTATGGTGATTAACATAGCATAAAAATAAAAAAATAGAGCATTTATATTTTGATTAAAAAAGAAAAGAATTCTGAAAATCATTTCTACCTCCTGCCATCCTATTGATATTTTCATGTTTGCATTCTTAATGCATGCATATGAGCATATATAATTATCTTTTTATGTAATAAAATCATATACTTCATGTCATTTTGAAATTTCCTTTTTCACTTCATGTCACAAAAATTTAGGTCATTAAATGTTGTTAGTTGATCATGGATTTTAATGGCTACATAGCATTCTATTATGTGGGTATGCCACACGTGTGTATGTATAAATATATGCACTCATGTGACTCTCTTCTTAATTTCCCGTTGTTGCCTATTTAGTTTGTTTATACATTTTCATTATAAATAGTAATACAGTATCTCTCCTTACAGGTAAGTTTTGTGTTTATCCATGCTAGTTCCTTAGAATAGAATTGGATTTATTGGGTCAAAAGTACACCTGTGTTTAAGATTTTTGATATATATTGCAAAATTATTCTGAAAAATAATTGGGTTGGCAAACTTTTTCTTTTTTCTTTTTTTAAATTTTTCTTTTTTCTTTTTTTTTTAAAGATTTTATTTATTTATTTGAGACAGAGAGAATGAGAGAGAGAGAGAGAACACATGAGGGGGGGAGGGTCAGAGGGAGAAGCAGGCTCCCTGCCGAGCAGAGAGCCCGATGCGGGACTCGATCCAGGGACTCCAGGATCATGACCTGAGCCGAAGGCAGTCGCTTAACCAACTGAGCCACCCAGGCGCCCGGCAAACTTTTTCTTAAAGGGCTAGATGGTAAATATGTTTGGCCTGTGGGTCATAAGATCTCTGTTGCAACTACTCAACTCTATGTGGAGTATAAATAGCCATAGACAATAAATGAATGAATGAACATGCTTATGTCCCCATAGTTTGCCAATCTCCATACTATAACTACCTTTTACCAAAGTAGATGAATATGTCTATTTGTTCTTTCCTTTGCCAGCACTGGTTTTCCATTAAAAAAATTAAAATAATGCTTTATTGGGACACCTGAGTGGCTCAGTCGGTTAAGCGTCTGCCTTCGGCTCAGGTCATGATCCCAGGATCCTGGGATCGAGTCCCACATCGGGCTCCTTGCTCAGCAAGGAGCCTGCTTCTCCCTCTGCCTGCCTCTGTCTCTCTCTCTCTCTGATAAATAAATAAAATCTTAAAAAATTTATATATATTTTAAAATAATGCTTTATTATCACAAAAGTGGCATATATATTTAGGAATGTAGGTGAGCAGCTATTAACATACACACTCCATATTCTTTTCACACAGTGATAATGGCTGCTAAACCTTAGTATATATTATTTCAGAATATTTTCTATCCAAATCTAAAGATATATGTACTTTTTAATGTGCATTCTCTTTTGTAACCTGCTTTTTTCAGTTAATGTTCTTTACTTTTCCATGTCAATAAATCTTCATTTCATGTAATACTCAGTCTATCTTCACGTTCTCCTGGTTGGCCCCAAATTTCTCTTACTGCTGGTATGTCTGTCTATACCAGGATGCAACACAAGACTGTCTCCTGCATCCCCTGTTTATGTCCATTTCATATCTTTTATTCTAGAACAGTCTCTATATTCATGATGGTTGTTGAAAAGCCTAAGCCAGTTGTCCTGCAGAATATCCCATGGATTTGTTTGATGGCTTTCTTGAGTTTTCATTTAGCTTGTTCTTTGTCTTAGTTAGTTCAAGCTGCCGTAACAGAATACTACAGACAGGGTGGCTTAAAGAACAGAATTTTATTTTCTCACCGTTCCTGAGGTTGGAAGTCTAAGATCAGGGTATCAGCATGATCAGCTTCTGGAGAGAGCTCTCTTTCAGGCTTGCAGACAGGTAACTACCTTCTCACTCAGCCCTTATAGGGCCAAGAGAGAGATATTCTCTCTCTCTTTCTCTTCTGAGGTCACCCGTCTTTTCAGATTAGGACCCTACCCTTAATTACCTCCTAAAAATCCCTATCTTCATATATCTGCACACTGGGGCTTAGAGCTTCATCATATGGATTTGGAGGGGGGCATAATTAATTCAGTCCATACCATTCTTCTAGCCCCTAATATTTCCTATAAGCTGGCAATTAGATCTGTAGGCTTACTGGATTCAGGTTAAATAAATTTGGCTAGAATACATCATAAATGAAGTTGTATGCTTTATAATTATATTACAAAAGGTGGTACATAATATCTGGTTATTTCTTACTGCCTTTAAAATATATATTTGTCAATTTGGTAAGCAATTCCTGTTCGTTACCAAGTTTTACATCTTTGTCATTGTTTTAATTTGCATTTCTCTGATTAAGTATTTGCCTTTTGAAGACATGAAGGGAAGGGGGGAAATGCACAGAAAAGAAATTAAAATGAGAAATCGGAAAGATTTGCTTGGATGGAATAGGAAAAAGAAAGACAAATGGTGTAGTTTGATGGAATTTGCTGTCCTCTTTCAGTCTTTCCTACTTGCAAGCTCTAATTTATTTGGTCTATTTGAGATCATGGCCATCCCACTGAAATTCACATCTTTTTGGCAGTAGCTCCTCAGATACTTGGTGGAAGGTAGGGTTGCTCAAGCGTGCACAGCAACCAAGAGACGGAGCACTCCTGGGAAGTCTTCTATGTGACTTTGCTGGAAAGCTGTGAGGTCACAGTCCTGTGGTCCTGGGGCTCTGGAGTCCTGCATGCTGATGTTCGAACCCTGTCTCGTTTCAGCCCAGAAAGACTGGTCCTGATAAACCGGGCAGAAATGGGTGTGTCAGTTTTTCCTTAATGACTATTACCCGAGTCGCCTTTAAGGTTAAACTCAGCACAGCTGCCTCCACTGAAAAATCCTCTAGCATTTCCTACAGCGTGTCAGTGTGAAATTTGACTTCACATTAATTTTCAGAGCCATAGTAAAACTTATGCAATAACTTTTTTCTTCAATCCAGAGAATGTCTTTCTATCCTGCATGTAATTCAGAAGAACAAAGTTGAACAGCAGTTCTTCTATGAGTTTGAAGGGGGTGTCAAGCTTGGAATAGGTGCCTTTAACTTGGTAAGTAAATAATTGTAAAGCTGCCAGAAGCTTTTTTAAAAGAACCTAAGGTTTCCAGTGCCTTCTCTACTGTGCGTGAACCTCTACCTGGGTTTGGTTGACAAGTCGCTAGAGAGGGATCGGTTTTTTTTGTGTTGTGACCCAGTGGTGACTTTGGCCAGTGTGCGTTGTAAAGTTCTGCACATGCTCAGAGTAGGTTTGGATTGTACAAGAGGGGAAGCATGCAGCACTCTGAATGGACTAGCAACATATTTGGTAATAAGGAGCTCGGAATCCAGTTCCATTTCCACATCAGAAATATTGTTGCTTTAGCAATGGAGGCTCTGGAATTGAAAATGGGTGAGGCAGTAGCCATATGGCTTGAGGCATGGTTTTGATGCTGTGAGGGAGACGAAGAGTTTGAGTAGATATTTGTCAAATGTAATATGTTATTTAAAGATTTTGAAATTTATTAAAGTTTGACTGGAATTAATGAGAAAATGCAGTGGTCAAGGGAATAATATACATGAGTGTGTCCATCACCGTGGCCACTTAGTTCACGAGCCCAGTTGGTCAATGATAGGGGTGGCTGGGGAAAGAGGCCGGCTGGCTGTTAGAACAGGTCATCGTATTCACTTGATTATTCAAATCCTCCTCTCCTGAGGTCAGGCTTTGGTGAACATTCATATTGGACACACAAATATCTTCATGTTTTTTGCTCAGAGAGGTCTGTGCTCTTCCCTAGACTTCCTTGTCATTAATATTCCAATGATATTCCTTCCAAATCCCTGACCATCCAGCCAAACCATTGGCTCCAGCCGATGAATCCGTATAGAATCACACACGTGGCCATTTCTCCTTCCAAGCAAAGTGAACAAGCAGGTGACTGTTCTTGCGCTGGCTGGATTTCCCCTCCCTGCTGCTCCCCAGGGATGTTCTAGAAAGCAACTGTAGTGCCATGCTGTTCACTTTTGGGTGATGCCTGCATATTATGCAGAATTCAACAGACTTGCTTTCTGGAAAAGGATGTTAAAAGAGATCTTGTTTGGAAGTGGGCATGGAGGGATTGCCTTCTCAGCACTTAATAACTGCACATAGGAGGACCAAGTATTCTCTAGAGTGTCCTGGAAAGGCTATGGTTTTTGTTGTTGTTGTTGTGTGTTTTGTTTTTTAATTTTTTAGGTTCATTGTCTTAGCTAAATGAAATTAAGTCACAAGTAATGATTACCGTATGTGCAATATGTGATGATTGAGATAGGTATAGTGGTTCAAACTTGGTTCTAATATTTTATATTACCAAATTATTAAAACTTTAAGTTGTTTGAGGTTAATATTTATCTGTAGATAGATACACTAACAAATATACTTTTTTTTTCTTCTTGCAGATGCTCTCCCTTTTACCAGCACGGATTATCAGACTACTAGAATTTATAGGATTTTCAGGAAACAGGGTACACATTTAATTTTATCTTGATTTTGACAGGAAAGATAAAATATTATTTACTGAATAAAGGGCAGTGCAGCACATCCTCATAACCAGCATGACAATTATTGACAATTTGTTTGCAGGACAGTAAAAAGTCATTGGGGTCTTGATAGTACTTTTCAGGAGCTGAGATGGTTTTGCTCTTGAAAGTAAACATTTTTATATTTGTTACCTAAGTTCTGGGATTAAAAATTATGTTTTACTAACATTGCTACTTGCTGGACTTTAGTACTCTTGTGTGGTTAAAATATGCTTCCTAAACCTTTTAGCAACCCCAGAGTGTTCTGTAAAACCAGCAAATTAAGCTAGATTTCCATGTCTCACGTTTTTTGTTTCCCCTGGATCAAGTATAGTTATAGTATTTTGGATTTCCTTGCACTTTTATAAGTTTCATGATAAAACTAAGCAAGGAAATTTTGTTTTTCATGAGTCTCATTCATTATATTTCTGTGTGGTTGTTTTTGTAATGTATAACATTAATTAAACCTAACACTCAATATGCTCTTACCAGGGTTGCCTTATTGCAAAAGCTGTCCCTGTTAGTGAAGAGGGCAGGTTTTGAGAACTATATGAGGACAAGTATAAGAAGCTGTTATTTTTTCCCCCAGACAGGTCCTGTGCTTTTCTGTTTTCTATGCTTCTGCTATTCTCTATTTTGGATGTCCTCCCTAGCCAGCAGCCTCCCAAATAAGTTCTCTTGAGAGCCTCTCCAACCATTAGGTTTGAGATAAATGTCAGCTATTCCTCAAACTCTCCCTTATTCTCTCCCAGTGAGGCTCAAGTATTCCTGACTCAGAATCATTTATCTTTCCTACAGCACTCACCATATTCTAATACAACCGTGTGTTCATGTAGTGTCTTGCCTATTTGATGGAAAGATCTTTGAAGACAAAACTGTATTTGTTCATGACTAATAGGAGGGCATGCGATGTAATGAGCACTGGGTATTATATAAGACTGATGAATCACAGGCCTGTACCTCTGAAACCAATAAAACATTATATGTTAATTAATTGAATTTAGATAAAAAAATGTTTAAAAAAGACCCTGTATTTGTTCATACCCACCATAATGCCTTGCACTTAGATCCTCAACATGTTTTAATAAATTAATATTTTTATCAGAGAAATACAACATTTCTATGAAATGAGCACTGCCTTTGTCCTCTCCGTAGAATCACACAATATGAAAGAATTTGTGCGATTATCTTACGCCAGTTTAAAATGTAAACTTTGTGGGGGTGCCTGGTGGCTCAGTGGTTGGGCTTCTGCCTTCGGCTCGGGTCATGATCCCAGGGTCCTGCGATCGAGCCCCGCATCGGGCTCCCTGCTCAGTGGGAAGCCTGCTTCTCCCTCTCCCACTCCCCCTGCTTGTGTCCCCTCTCTGGCTGTGTCTCTCTCTGTCAAATAAATAAATAAAATCTTTAAAAAAATAAATAAATAAAATGTAAACTTTGTTTCTGGTCAGGCATTGCCCCTATTCTAAGCTCTTGAAAAATAAACCCCACCTTCTTGGAGGGTGGAGACACAGGAACTCGGCCTCTGTAGTGTCTGAATGTGATTTTTCAATCATGTTTTCTCCTTCTGAAATGCATTTGCTTCCCACAGGAGTTGGGCCTCCTGCAGTTACAGGAAGGTGCATCCGGAAGAAGCCTGAGGTCTCCACTATGCTGCTTAACTATACTAGCTTTTCATACTTACATCTCCCTCATCCTTGGTAAGGACTGGATTACGTTTTATGTCGTTGAAAATAGATTACCTTTCATCTGAGTAAGTAAAAAATTTAGATTGTACCCTCGAAACCAACATAACATTGTTTGTTATATTTCAATTAAAACAATTAGAAAAAAATCACTAAGAGCTAGTAGTCTGTATCTGTTTACTTTTTTTTTCTTTTTTGAGTAAAGATGAAAAATAGTGACATTTGTCATAGTAACATTTGGCAGAGGGGGTGGAGGGTTTCTTTCCCTGAATATTTTGTATCTGTTCTCCGCTAAAAACATTCTGTAAAATTTGTTTAAGTTGATCTGTTTTAGCATGTTCATATTAGATTTCTTTTTGAGAAGAAAATTAAATTTTTGGCTAAGTTAAGTTAATATTGCTTTTAAAACCAGAAAGCCCAATTAGGACTCAATGATAACTCCTTCCATTCTTAAGAATTAGTTGGTCCTAGAGCTTTCTTAAACTAAAGTCATGGGTGGGACTTGTCTTGCCAAATTAACAGTTCTTATCTTTTCCATAAATAGGTGTTTGCTATATTTTACTGAAATGTGGAGAAATACTGTGTATTTGTATAAGACGGATTCTGATTATCAGGATTTCTGGGTCAGAGATGTTTGCATTTTGATAAATTTAGCCAAATTGACCTTCTAACTAAGGTTATTCCATTTAAACTCCTATAAAGATATGAGAATACTTGTTTCCAATGCACTTTGGCAACTCTGCACATTATCTGTTGTATTTTTGCCCATGTCATAGCCAAAATATGATAATCTAATCTAAGTATCTACCCTGTTGTGAAGACTGAGGCTTTTCCTGTTAAATTTCTAGGTACAGGAGAAGTGAATGTTGTGGAAGCAGAGAGTCTCCTTGCACCCTTCCTCCAGCAGTTTCCAAACGTATGCTTAGAATTTCAAGTACATGTTTCAGCCATAACCAATCAGGCGGGGCTGACCACTGATCAGTCTCTCTGCTTCCTTTCTCCCCAGGGCTCCCTCATGTTGTTTTATCATGCCCGGATAGAGCTGCTGAAAGGGAATGTGGAAGAGGTAATTTATCTTGGGGGGAGTGATTTGGAGAGTTGTCTGTAAGGTGGAGTTGTGTCACACTCATTCAACATAAGTAAATTCAGCTGTATGCACTAGACAGAAGTAAAGACAACATACGTTATTAAAACGCCCCAGTTAATTTTGTGTATGCATTTCTATATGTAGATTACTGAATACAGCCTATACTTACACATTAAGTATGTGAGGCAGCTCGGAGTAGAATATACAAAATACAGGTGGGCACCTTTAAGGGAATACAGGTTCTGTATTGCATATTGATTTTGAAATCTAGCCCCTGAATGAGATACAGCCACACTGTGCTGCACATACTCCTCAGCAAAGGAAATCCTTCACTAATTCTCTTGAAGAAGACGACTGTGGAGCTTTTCCTATAAGTATACTCACAAATAGTTGTCTTCTACACAAATGAGGTCAAACATATGTATTTTTCTTTGATTTGTTTGTTTGGTTTTTTTTTCCTACTTACAATACATCTTGGATTTCTTTCCAGGTCAGTATATCTAAATCTCCTTCATTCTTTTTGATGGCTGGATTTCATTCCATGAGATGGGTATATGATACTTAGTAAAGCAGCCCACTATTGATAGACATTTGGCTACTATAAATAGTGTTGTTGTAAACATCATCATGTATATATTTCTGTGCACAGGTGTATTTGTATAAGACGGATTCTGATTATCAGGATTTCTGGGGCAAAGATGTTTGCATTTTGATAAATTTAGCCAAATTGACCTTCTAACTAAGGTTATTCCATTTAAACTCCTATAAAGATATGAGAATACTTGTTTCCAAAGCACTTTGGCAACTCTGCACATTATCTGTTGTATTTTTGCCCATGTCATAGCCAAAATATGATAATCTAATTTTTAAAAAGATTTTATTTATTTATTTTAGGGAGAGAGAGAGAGAGCATGTACATACTCGCTCAAGAGCGGGGCGGGGAGGCAGAGTGGGAGGGAGAGGGACAAGCAGACTCTGTGCTGTGCTTGGAGCCCGACGTGGGGCTTGATCTCAGGATACTGAGATCATGACCTGAGCCGAAACCAGAAGTCAGATGTTCGACCGACTGAGCCAGGTGCCCCAAAAATCTAATTTTTAAGTTTATATTTTTCAGTTTACAGATTTCTTCATGTGTATGTTTGTCACTTGTATATCTTTTTCTCTGATTACCTAGTCATATCTTTGACAATTTCCCCATTGAGTTGTCTTTTTTTAAAGGATTTTATTAAATTGTTGTATGATAAGGGTTAATTTTGGCCAGTTGTGGATGTAGTGATATCTTCTCCCAGTCTGCCTTTAACTTTGTTTAAGGTGTATTTTAACTTCTGGGAGTTCTGACTTTTATTTTCAGTCCTTTGGTAAAGGACTTCTGCATTTTATATCTTCCTTGGGAAGGAACTTCACTACTCCCACATATAAAGTCTCACAGCCCCCTCACGAAGCTAAATCAAGAGGCAGAACTTAATTGTATAATTGCATGTAGGGAAAGGAACATACATCATCACACTGAGTGGTTTAATGAGCGATGCTTTTGTTCTTTTTGTACAAAGTGATTTATGTATTTTTCCATTAGGTTATTATCTCCTTGTGTAATATCTGGATGATCAGCTTTATGCAATTGACTTATAGGCACAAGAGATATTTCGAAAATGCATTTCAGTTCAAGAAGAATGGAAACAGTTTCACCATCTCTGTTACTGGGAGCTGATGTGGATTTATGTATTCCAACAAAACTGGATGGAGGCATATTATTATTCCGACCTGCTTTGCAAAGAAAGTAAATGGTCCAAGGTAAAGTGCTATGCTTTCGTTACTGTTATCTATTTGCTAGTAGGTGTCCAGGGTGATTTTTCTTTAAGACTGTTCAGAAGTATGACATCTATACTACCTTCTCCACTTAGGGATTCATCAAAGGAGGAAATAGGCATTAAATACCTACTGCTTATAAGCACTGTCCTTAGCACTACATGCTTTAAAAGCCATCCAGACGGTCCTTTTTAACAAAGAGGTTTTACCTCTGGGGATGAAATGCACTTACATTTAAAAGTTATTCAGTATCAACAGCCTTGATAATTTTTCTGTAGACTTTATGATGCCCTGATGACAAGGCTTTTCATAATAATTAAAATTAATTCTGATCTATTTGTGAGAAGTTGGGAGAAATGAGATGATTTCTTGTTCATTCTGTGTACTTTCTTGCCCATAAACGCTACGGTTGTATAATAGGAAAACGGTCAAAAGTAACTGAAAAGTGTTATTCTAAATAGGAATAGGCAGTAAAAGACTTCATTTCCTTTTATTTCTTTGGTGCTTTTTAAATGTTACATCTGGACAGTTTGTAGGTCATTCCCGACTTGCAAGATAGAAATGTCATGTACCTAGAGATGCCCTGTAACTAGCTGCTTCTCTCCTTTTCCTCAAGGCAACATATGTGTTCTTGAAAGCTGCAATTTTGAGTATGCTTCCAGAGGAGGATGTAGTAACAACTAAAGAGGATATAGTGACTTTATTCAGGTAAGCAAGGCACTATTGCTCTAACAGAGATCCTGGATACATCTTCCTTTTCTAAGTGTTCTCCCAGACTTTACCTTCATATCTTCTTTAATTTCTATTCATTCGATGCAGGAACTCTTAAAAACCACATTCAGAGAAGGTCTGTCGTGAACGAACCTGTTTAATTTTGTTTAGATCAGTGTCCATCCATCATCTGTAACCTTATTTTTGAACACCTGCTGTGTGAAGGATACCGTGTTAGGTGTTGAATAAACAGGCATGGCTTCTGTCCTTGTGGAGTTTATAATCTTGTAGTGGAACCAGACATCGGTGAAATTATTACACAAATAATTGCAAAATTATAATACATGAGTAATTTTTTTCCTTACTACTTTTCTTGCCATTCCTTCTCAGTATCTTTGTAGGCTCATCCTGTTTTATCCAAGTTTTAAATGTTGATGTCTTAGAGCCTCAACCTTAGGAAATCTCAGCCAGGCGAAGTTTAAGTCCCTTGTTCAGACCTCCTCACTGAGCTCTCGACCCATATAGCCAGCTCCCATTTGTCACCTTTCCTTGGATATGTGAAACCATTTTATTTATTTATTTATTTAATTTATTTTTTTAAAAAGATTTTATTTATTTGACAGAGAGAGACACAGCAAGAGAGGGAACACAAGCAGGGGGAGTGGGAGAGGGAGAAGCAGCCTTCCTACTTAGCAGGGAGCTCGATGCGGGGCTCGATCCCAGGACCCTGAGATCATGACCTGAGCTGAAGGCAGATGCTTAACGACTGAGCCATCCAGGCACCCCTTTTTAATTAATTAATTAATTAATTAATTTTAGAGAGGGCGGGGAGGGGCAGAGGGTGAGGGAGAGAGTCCCAAGCAGATGTGGAGCTTGATCCCAAGACCATGAGATTATGACCTGAGCCAAAACCAAGAGTTGGATGCTTAACCAACTGCGCCACCCAGGCGCCCCAAGAACATTTTAAACTTACCATGTTCAGTCTTCCTGAGCAAACCTGGTGTTCTTTCCTCTTTTGGTGATTGGGACCACAGTTAGCAAGCCAGAAACTGATAATACTCGCATTGCCAACACTACCCACTGTGCCCCCCTGTCCCCAGTGGGAGGAGGGGTATGTATATGCACGTAGAGGCAGTAATGGTTGAGATGGTATCTGAAGGTGGAGTAGGAGGTGCTGAGGCAGCAGGGAGTTGTGGTGGTATAGTTTCAGACCAAGGAACAGCATGTGAGATGAGCCTGTTGCAGGAAGGAGCACTGCACATTAAAGAAGTAAAAGGTGATATTTGATAGGACACCATGCTACATTTAATGTACAGTTGACCCTTGAACAACATGAGTTTGAACTGTGTGGGTCCACTTACACGTGGATTTTCTTGATCAGTACAATACTGAAAATGTATTTTCTCATCCTTATGATTTTCTTAATAGCATTTTCTTTTCTTTAGCCTACTTTATTGTATTGTAAGAGTATGGTATTTAGTACATACAACATACAATATAGTGTTAATCAACTGTTTATGTTATCAGTAAGGCTTCTGGTCAACAGTAGGCTGTTAGCAGTTAAATTTGGGGGGAGTCAAAAGCTATATGTGGATTTTTAATTATGGGGGGGGGTTGGTGCCTTTAATCCCCATGTTGTTCAAGGGTCAGCTGTTTATAGGTCAAAAGAAAAGAAAGGTCAGGGGTGACTCAAAATATGTCTCAGAGAACACAGTCTTCCATTTATAAATAAGACAGAGTGACAAGGATCATTGGTAACCCTAGCAGGGGCTGATAAGGTCATCGAGTAGAGGTGGGAGTCAGACTGGAGGTGGCTGAAGAAAAGAAATGCAGAGTTGAGCATAAATGCATCCCTGGATAATCCTGACTATGACGGGGAGGGGAGAGAGAGAATGGTAGTTGGAGGGAGATGTCATGTCAGAAAATGTTTTAATGGTAGAGTTGTGAGCATTCTCAAGAACCACCGGGAAGGATCCAGTTGAAGAAAAGTTACACACAGAAGCAAGAAATGGGATAATTGATATTTGTAAGTGTCCAGAAAGGGCAGGAGGAGTTAGAATCCAAAGCACTGATGACACAGTTGGTTTTATCCAGGAGGACGACCAGGTCCTCTGTTGTATCAGAAGGGAAGAAGTCCAGAATAGGGGCAGAGGCAGGCAAGCTTATGAGTTGTAGTATGAGAGGGAGGGCTCTGCATCTCCTAGCTTGTGTTTCTCTTTGCAAAATAGGAGGCAGGGTCCTCTATTGAGAATGAAAGAGAAGGGAGCGGGCTGCAGGTGTGAGGGGGGATGGTGAATGTTTGAAATCATTGTTGCAGAGAGTGGGGTGGTGGAGTTATGAGAGAAACACTGTAGGAGGAATGGCTGGTAGTACAAGGGCCCATTTGAGGTCAATGCTGATTAATTTACATTGATTTTACAGTCTGCTCGCAGTGCAGGGAAAATGAACACGGAGCCTCATCCAGGGTTGGGTTTTTGCCCGATGAGCATAGCAACTAGGCAGTGGACGAGGGAGTTTAGGACTGAGGCTAGAGCGTGTAGCAGTAAAGATCAGGGCCATCTGAGCAGGAATATGGAGGCACAGTGAGAGAGGGAGATTGCGGATAGGGAGAGGGTTGAAGGGCAAGTAGACTGACACAGTCTTACTATAACAGCCAAGTAAGAATGAAGAGAATGGTATTCAGAGTGGTATGCTTGAATTTGTGCTTTGAGGTAGAAAAGTCACAGGTGCCGAAGTGTGGTCTAAGATAGGACTGCAGGGGTGGGAGGCTCTGGTAGAGGGGAGAAGCTGACCACTGAAGATGACCACTCCGTTCAGGAATGGAGAAGCTCTGCTGCATTCTTCAAACATAATTAATGACAAAACCTTTTACATGGAATCCTGCATTCGGTGCCTATGTTATGAGAAATAATATCTTAGCTGGACCCTCAAGACTTGTCAAGGCAAATCTGAAGATACGACCAAGACCACTTTTTCACCTTCTCTTTAAAAGCTCTTTTTGAAAAAAGGACCATGTTACTAACTATAGAATCAACATCAGTGGAAGCCATGGTAGGATTCATGCCACGTCTTACTGGTAAAATGCATGTCATGTTTCACACAAACAACGGATGGAATGGAATGGAATATTAAAATATGTTGAAATCTTTTAAATCTCCCTCTGTTTCTTCCACTTTAGAGTAAGTTTTCTCCATATCCAGACAATTTCTGTGAAACATGTAACCAGTCCTATTTTCAGGAGGAAGCTTGAGGTCTGCTGTATGATAGCATCTAATTTGTTGGGATAATGAGAGGAGAGTCACCCAGTGAATGTTTTTTTCATACTGACTCTGCAGTCTTCAAACCACATGATTTCCTGCCCAAGGCATGTTTTCTCTGATCCTCAACCCCCACTTCACATTTCCACTGCTTCTTCCACTGACGTTACTGAACATCAAATCATGGGCATTCTGCTTTAAAATTCATATCCCCAAATCATGCCCAGAAAGAACCAAACACAACCTTGTCCTCTTATTGGAGTATTTTTTCTCTTGTTTCATCTTACTTTTTCTTTCAGTGATGTAATTGGATCACTGAACTTTGTCTCAGCAACCTCTTTGATGCACTTACAGATCTGTGTGTAAGAAAGTGCTGTGGGAATATAAAGTGTCTCCGTCCTACTCTCATTTTTATGTGCTTGTGAATTTCACAATTGGGATTTCTTAGGCTTTTAAGAGGAAGTTTGTAATCATGGTGCATGTCTTTAGCTGATTATTTTCAGAATAACCTGTGTTTGGGAAACTTCTTATCTAAGTATATATTAATTGATAGCCGTGTTTTAAAGCACATTACTTTATAGATCTGTGTCCTAGGAAAAAGACAGGAATAAGTAGGAATAGATAGGAATACGAAATGTACCATATACCCTTTTCCCTCTCTCTGAGTATCCACGTATAAGTAAATACTTTGGACTCTTTTCCTGCTTACTTATGGAAATTGCCAATTTTTATTTTAATTTTATTTTTTAAAATGTTTTAATTTAAATTCAATTTAATTAACATATACTGTATTATTAGTTTCAGAGGTAGAACCCAGTGCTCATTACTTCAAGGGCCCTCCTTAATGCCCGTCACCCAATTACCCCATCCCCCCACCCACCTCCCCTCCAGTGTTCCTGTTTGTTTCCTATAATTAAGAGTCTCTTATGGTTTACCTCCCTCTCTGTTTTCATCTTATTTTACTTTTCTTTCCCTTCCCCTCTATTCATCTGTTTGTTTCTTAAATTCCACATATGAGTGAAATCATATGGAATTTTCTTTGACTGGCTTATTTTGCTTAGCACAATACCCTCTAGTTCCATCTACATCGTGGCAAATGGCATGATTTCATTCTTTTTGATGGCTGAGTAGTATTCCATTGTATATATATATATACCACATCTTCTTTACCCATTCATCTGTCGATGGACATCTGGGCTCTTTCCATATTTGGCTATTGTGGACATTGCTGCTACAAACATTGGGGTGCATTGCCAATTTTATATCTAGATTTCCTTGATTGTGTTTGATAAATTAAGACATTAGCTAAGTTAACTAGAGAGAATTATGTGTCAGTCGGTGGTTCTCACATTTGAGCACACATCTAAATCAGCTGGAGGACTCATAAGAATCCAGATTGCTGGGTCCAGCTCTAGAGTCACTGAAATTAGGTCACTCCACCACTGGGGTGGAGTCTGAAAATTTGCAGTTTTAAAAAAAAATTTTTTAAATATTTTATGTAGGGACGCCTGGGTGGCTCAGTCGGTTAAGCATCTGCCTTCAGCTCAGGTCATGATCCCAGGGTCCTGGGATCGAGTCCCGCGTCAGCGCTTCTTGCTCGGCGGGGAGTCTGCTTCTCCCTCTCCTTCTGCCTGCCGCTCCCCCTGCTTGTGCTTTCTTTCTCTCTGACAAGTAAATAAAATCTTTTTTTTTTAAAAAAGATTTTGTATTTATTTGAGTATTATTTGAGAGAGAGAGAGAGCACACACAAGCCAGGGAAGAGGCAGAGAGAGAGAGGGAGAAGCAGACTCCCCGCTGAGCAGGGAGCCCGATGTGGGGCTTGATCCCAGGACCCTGGGATCATGACCCGAGCTGAAGGCAGATGCTTAACTGACTGAACCACCCAGGCACCCTGAAAATTTGCGTTTAGAACACATCTCCAGATGATGCTGATGCTGCTGGAGCATGCTGGGGCACAGTGTGAAAACTGCAGGTATCAATTACATATGTGTTCTAATGACTTTTTGCTGGGGCTGGGGTTGGGCTCTTCACAGACAGGTGGATAGTTTGAAGCAGAGAATTGCAGGGAAATCTATCCCTACTGAGAAGTTTGCTGTAAGGAAGTCTCGTCGTTACTCTGCCTCGTTGCCTGCACCCGTGAAGCTCATCGTGCCTGCCCTGGTATCTGTCTTTATTTTATTTAGTGTTTGTGTTTTAGAAATTATCTATTCACAACAGCAGGAAGCACACCTGTGAAGTTTAGCTGTTTGCTGTGAAGTTTAGCTCAACTAAATGCCATTGTAAGGGTGTTTGTAAGGTGAACATTTATGAATTATTAATAATCATAAAAATTATAGCTAATGTTTTTGACTACTTGATATGTTCTAGGCATTATGATATTCAAAAAATCTATCGTCTAATATTTTTTGAAAGGCTATTTAAAAAATACATAATTTAATTCTTACAGTAACTCTATGGGAGTACTTTCTCTCTGTAGCCCCATTTTACAGATAAGGAAATTCAGGCAGAGAGGTGAGTTGGCTTAATTAAAGTTGAGTTGAATTCCAATGCAAGCCACTTAGATGATTTTACCTTTTCTAGTAGCAGTATTAAAAATTAAAATGTCAGAAAGTGTAAAAAATTAAAGGAAAACATGAAAATAATTTTAAGAATATATTTTGTTTAACTCAGTATATGTAAAATGTTTGTTTGAACATGTAACCAGTAGAAACTTAATGAGATATTTCACATTCCTTTCTGTTGTACTAATTATTTGAAATCTAGCGTGTATTTTACTCGTAGAGCATATCTCAGTTTGCACTAGCCACATTTCCGGTGCTCAAGTGCCCTAAGTGGCTGGTGGCCACTGCATTCAACAGTGTGGTGCTGGAGCTCTCTTTCTTTCTGTCTTTTTTTTTTTTTTTTAGATTTATTTATTTAATAGAGAGCATGAGCAGGAGGGGCAGAGGGAGAGGAAGAGAAAATCTCAAGCTGACTCCATGCTCAGCGTAGAGCCCAATGCGGGGCTTGATCTCACGACCCTGAGATCTCACCTGAGCCGAAACCAAGAGTGGGCGCTTACCCGACTGCGCCACCCAGGTGCCCCTGGAGCTCACATTCTTTTTTTTTTTTTAAAGATTTTATTTATTTATTTGACAGAGAGAGAGAGATAGCGAGAGCAGGAACACAAGCAGGGGGAGTGGGAGAGCGAGAAGCAGGCTTCCTGCCGAGCAGGGAGCCCGATGTGGGACTCGATCCCAGGACCCTGGGATCATGACCTGAGCTGAAGGCAGACGCTTAACGACTGAGCCACCCAGGCGCCCTGGAGCTCACATTCTTAATCATTATGCTGTTTAGAGTAGACTTCATGAAAAGCATAATTTCCACTTAAATTTTTTTTAAAGAATACTTCTTTAAAAGTACTGAATATATCAAATTATTCTGGCCCTTTGGAGCTTTAGTTTTGCGTAGGTAGTCAGCACAGGAAAACCATTAAATGCAAGCTGAAGTCTGCAGTCCTCCTTTGGAGTTTCTTGATTTTTTCTTTTTTTTTTAATATTCCAGAGTTTATTCAGTGATTCCCCTTTGACAGTTTAGTTTCCAGTTTTTGCTATTACTAACGTTACAATGAATATTCTTTTATATATTTTTTTTGGTGCATGGTCATATAATTCTCTGGAAAGACTTCTAGAAATGGAATTCCTGGTTGAAGGGTATGTGCACTTATTATTTTGACGTTGCCAAATTGCCCTCCAGAAAGTCTCTACTGGTTTAAATGTCTACCAACAGTGTTTCACTGTTTTAATTTACATTTCCCTGTTGGTACGGTTGAGCATCTTTTCATGTGCTTATTATTTTTATTTCTTCTCTTGTGAATTGTTCATATACTAATGTAATTTTTCATTAGGTTGTTTGTTGTTTTGTCATTGACTTGTAGGAGCTCTTTATATATTCTGTGAGAAAGAAAACTGCAGCCTCTAACAGGTGTCAGATAGGAGCTAACCTATACCTAAGTCCAGGTGTTCTCTACTTAAGATCAACAGTCTCAGAGAGCACCACCATCAGAGCAGGTTATTCTGTGCCTGTGATGGAATGAGACAAAAATAGCACTCTGTCATCAAATCTGAGCACAGATAAAAACAGGACACCATGCAAATCACAAAAATGACCAAACATCCCCCTTTTCCAGCTAACATGGGAGCCTATTGCTGTTTCACCAATTACAGCTTTTAGATCTGTTCCTGATGATTGATTTCTATCAAGTGATTTGCACTGGGAAATTTTTTGTCACAGAACTTTCGTGAAAATTTTCTAAAGCATAATAGCCCTTTCTTTGCCCTAGAACTTAGATGCTGGTGTGTACATAACTATATCTTACTTTGATCACTAAGGGTCTTCAGGAAGGGTAACTCACAGCACTTCTTTCTACAGGCTTAAAGGTGTAGAATTGGTTTGAATTTGTGGTTAACTAGGAATTTCACCAAAATGTTATTTTTCATAGAATCTCAGATGTGAGCTTGCCTTCTTCTGATAAAATAGTCTATTGATAAAAACAAAATTTAAAGATCATCAGTTAATTATTCCATTAATTATTGTATCGAGTTCTTACACCATTAGCAATAAGAAACTGTTAGATGTAAAGAAAAAAAAATTAGAGTGTTGTGATCTTCGTTTTCAGTGCCATAGAGTAGAGATGACTTTGCTGCCACTCGAATGTATTTTCCTCATTTCCGCTACTTCCCTGTAAGGAGCTGTTCAAACAATATCTTTATCGTATTTTAAAATTCATTTATCTCGAAGAAGATACTAATTACCCTGCTTATTTCATACCCTTAAAAATATGAACTGTACTACCAGGAAAGTTAGAAAAATATTTTCAAGCAAAAGCATATTTGCTTTTGGTCCAAAATATTTCTCATCTGTTAGCCTATGAGATGTAATTTGCAATGAGAAATCATTAGTTTACATTTTCAGGGGCTGTCATTCAGCCATATGGCCTTTAGATGAATGCATTTCCTGCATGTTGATCACTGGACTGTCACATGTTTTTAATGGGATAAAAGAACCATTAAAATATTTTCTATGTTCGTTTCCAGTGAAGTCCTTGGAATATGTAAACAATTGGCAGATATTTTAAAAATGTTTCCCTTTACTTAAAAGTAACAACAAAACTTTGTATCAAATACAATTGTTCATAGTGTCAGTTAAAAGTATTCTATTTATTTCTGTGTTTGTAAACTGTTATCTTCCAAAAGGATCGAATGCCGGTAGTAGATGCTTAAATGAATGAGTAAATTTTTCAGTAAAAATGTAATATACTGTATATACTGAATTACTTAATGGTATAAAAGGCAAAAGGCATATAATAAAATGAGAAAAGGGGAAATTATATTCACTACACTCCAAATAAGGAAAGCTAAGTCAAGTGATCTCTGAATGTTGTCTTGAGATCCGTAGCAACCAAGAGAGTAGTTTCGTTGTTGTAAAGGACATTGGATAACCTCACATAATTGCAAATGGCTTTTCATTCTTCCTCATTAGGAAATGATGTATGTCTGGAATGGTTTTCCAATAGTGAGCAAGAGAAGAGACCTTTCCGAAAATCTGTTGGTCACTGTCGAAAAGGCTGAGGCTGCTTTACAAAATGAAAGTAAGTATGAAAAGTAAAAGCCTGGAAATCTTTTTTATTACCACTCTCCTGCCCTTTCCCTGTGCATATCGGCCCATGTTCATTTGTGTGCGTCACAAGGACAAAGCACTTGGGCCGCAAGGGTCTGGGTGATTGTAATCAGAGGAAGGGAGGAATGACACATGCTGCAATGTGGACGAGCCTTGGGGACACAAGGCTATGTGAAAGATGCCAGTTGCAGAAGACAGCATATTGCATGGCTCCATTTATATGAGATATTGAGAATAGGTAAATCTATAAAGACTGAAAGTAGACTAGTGGTTTTATAACTAGGGATGGAGGAACTGGGGCGTGTGTGTGATAGCTTTTAACGGGTATGGCATTTCTTTTTGGAGTGATGAAAATGTTCTAAGACCGTGGTATTGGTTGAACAGCTCTGTAACATACTCAAAACCAGCGGACTGTGTACTTCTGGTGGGTGAATTGTATGGTATGTGAATTATATCTGAATAAGTTTGTCACTGAAAAAGATGAACAATCAGTCGAGTTTTAGAGTGCATTTCTGGTTTTTAGTTTGTGACTCTTTCCATGCCTCCTTTTGCTCGGTAATGACTATTATGTTTTTGCAGACACAGAAGATTGTTTCCCAGTTGAAATTTTATCACAGTTTAATTTTTTTACTCATTACTGTTGGTTGTCCTAGAGGCCCCTCTCCAGTTGACTGGGAGCTCCGGTTCCTGGAAGCAGCTGGTATAGTAGAAGGAAAATCAGGCCATCTGGGCTTACAGTCCCAGCCCTGCAGCTCTCAGACTCTGGGAAACATGCCTCATCATTCTGGGCCTCTGGTTTCTTGTAAAATGGGATAATGACACCCAAAAATACACAGATAATCTCCAAAGTTTTCTTGCTCTGACATTGTCTACTTCTCTAGCTTAAATAGAGGATCTATCTTTTGATAAATGATGCTATAAATGATAGTCTTTGTAATCCTTATCAACCTCACAATCATTCAGGTTTTATCCTTTGGAATGTTCTGACTATGGAAGTAAAATGAAAACTTCATGGCAACAAACATGGCAAAGGGCATAGAAGTTCAGGAAAAGGCAGGGAAAATTATAACAGTTAACTCCTATTTCTTAACTGGAAAAAGATGGGCATTGATGGAGTGGCTAGCCCCATACTCAATATATTCTCCTCATGGGAAATTAAATATTGAACATAGCTCCAGGGATGAGGACCTCATTTGGATCATTTTTGTATTTGGAGCTATTGAATGAGGCTGAAATGTTAAATGAGATTCTTCTTTATAGTTATTGTTAAAAAATTAAACACATAATTATGATTGATAGATGTAGGTGAAAAAAGTTATGCATATTTTTGCTACTACAACACAATTAATTTAGAGTATTTGTTTGTTCCATCCTAGCCTTATTTTTATAGTTATAATCATAGTGTACCTGGACACATATTAGACTACTTTTTTTTTCACTTAATATATCAAACTTTTTTTAATTGAAGTATAATTGACATATAACATTATGTTAGTTTCATGTGTATACCATAATGATTCAGTATTTGTGGACTCTCTAATGATCAGCATAATAAGTCTAGTTAACATACATTACTATACATATTACAATTTTTTTTCTTGTGTTAGAACTTTTAAGATCTACTCTCTTAGCAACTTTCAAATATGTAGTACAGTATTATTATTATTATTTTTTTTTAAGATTTTATTTATTTATTTATTTGAGAGAGAGAATGAGAGACAGCACGAGAGGGAAGAGGGTCAGAGAGAGAAGCAGACCCCCCGCTGAGCGGGGAGCCCGATGCGGGACTCGATCCCAGAACTCCAGGATCATGACCTGAGCCGAAGGCAGTCGCTTAACCAACTGAGCCACCCAGGCGCCCTGTAGTACAGTATTATTAACTATAGTCACCATGCTGTACATTATATCCCCATGATTTATTTTATAATGGGAAGTTTATACCTTTGACTCTCTTTACTCATTTCTCCCACCTCCCATGCCCCACCCCCGGTAACCACCAATTTATGAGCTTGCTTTTTTGTTTTGTTTTGTTTGTTTTAGATTTCACATAACTGAGATCGTATGGTATTTGTCTTTCTCTGTCTGACTTATTTCATTACTTAGCATAATGCCCTCAAGGTCAATCCATGTTGTTGCAGAATGGCAAGATTTTATTTTTTTATGGCTGAATAATATTCCGTGGTATGTATACACTACATTTTCTTTATCCATTCATCCACTATGGCTTCCATATCTTGGCTATTGTAAATAATGCTGTAATGAACATGAGGGTGCACATACTTTTCGAGTTGGTGTTTTCATTTTCTTTGGATAAATACCTAGAAGTGGAGTTGCTAGATCATATGGTAGTTCTATTGTTATCATAGACTTTTAAATTGTTGTTAAATGGCTCTTACAATAATTTCAAAAGCTTCACAGCACTCCATGGAATCAATGTATCATAATTTAATCAACTCTTTCAATATTGTTGGGCATTTAGGCTGCTTTCCATATTTAAAATAATTCTAGTTTTAGATTGCCATCAATAAGGAGAAGAAATATAAAAGAATGAAAGGGGAATCAGTGGCCTTAATTGCTAATAAGGTCAAGGTTTCAGGCAGGATAGCTGAAGAAGTCAGTAGAACAAAAAGCAGTGATGTTCTGAGGCCACAGACCAGCACCCCTGCCCCCCAATTCTTCCAAATAACCATTCTGCGAATATAAACTGGTAATCACAGGGAGATCAGGTAAATGGAATATTCTACTTTACTATTAAAAAAAGTCACCTGCAAAGGTCCTCTATTGATGGAGGGTGAGTAATGTCAGTCTCCCATATTAAAGGCAGCATTTTTATAAAAGAACTGTGGTTCCCTTTCTCTCCTTTTTCCTCCCCCTTACAGAAAAGTATTAAACTTCAGCCCCTATGAGCTGGGGCTTAGGTACGGTAGTCAAAATATTGAAGTATTTATCTTCATGGACTGAAAATTCTCTGTGATCTCTGGGCACCAGGGAAACAAGTGGATGAAAAGGTTTAAGAAACTGAAATCAAAAAGAGAAACCAAAATTTGTATTATTTAACAGAGAACCAAAGGAGTGTATGTATAAGAACAAACTTAACAGTCTCATTATATGGACATTTTAGACTTTCTTTGTATGTTCTAGATGTTCCATTAATAATATATTATCTACATAGTTTCTATATATAGAGTTGCATTAAGCTTCTTTACTATTTTTACAATTATATCTTGTTAATTTTCAAAAATTATTTTATTTTATTTATTTTTATTTTTATCTCACGACCGTGAGATCAAGACCTGAGCTGATGAGATGAGGAGTCAGACGCTTAACGACTGAGCCACCCAGGTGCCTCTCTTTTTAATTTTTAATTGTAGTACACAAAATTTACCATGTGCCCCATTTTTAACTGTATAGTTCAGTAATGTTTTGTTCACACAGTTGTGCAACCAGTCTCCAGAACTTTTCCATACCCATTAAAAATAGCTCTCCATTTCCCTCTCCCCACTGCCTCTGGCAACCACAGTTACACTTTTTGTTACTATGAATTTGACTACATTAGGTTGCTCATATGAGTGGAATCCTACATTATTTGTCCTTTTGGGACTGGCTTATTTCCCTTTGCATAATGGCGCCTCAGAGAATGGGGTCCCTGGGTGGCTCAGTCGGTTAAGCGTCTGCCTTTGGCTCAGGCCTTGATCCCGGGGTCCTGGGATCGAGCTCCCCATGTCGGGCTATCTGCTCAGTGGGGAGTTTCCTTCTCCCTCTCCATCTGCCTCTCCCCCTGCTTGTGCTCTCCCTCTCTCTCTGTGTGTCAAATAAATAAAATTAAAAAAAAAAAAAAATGGCCTCAGGGTATATCCATGTTGTAGCATGTGTGAGAATTTCCCTCTTTAAGGCTGCATAATATTCCATTGAATGTATATATCACATTTTGCTTTTCCATTTATCCACTGTTGCACATTGAGTTGCTTCCACTTTTTGGCTATTGCAAATAATACTTCTATGTAAAATTTTTTTGAGATTGTTTTCAGTTCTTTTATTTATTTTTAAAGATTTTATTTATTTATTTGAAAGAGAGCGAGAGGGAATACAAGTGGGGGGGAGGGGTAGAGGGAGAAGCAGGCTACCCGCCGAGCAGGGAACCCGACACAGGGCTCCATCTCAGGACCCTGGGATCATGACCCGAGCCTAAGGCAGACGCTTAACTGACTGAGCCACCCAGGTGCCCCGCTTTCAGTTCTTTTAGGTATATCCCCAGAAGTAGAATTGCTGGATCATGTGGCATTTCTATTTTAAATTTTTTGAGGAATTGTCATACTGTTTTCTGTAATGGCTGTACCATTTTACATTCCCTCCAGCAGTTCACAAGGTTCTAATTTCTCTATATCCTCACTAGTATTTGTAATATCCTGGGTTTTTTTTTTTTTTTTTTTGGTACTAGCCATTCTAATGGATGTGAAATGATCTTTACTATTTTCCTTCAAAAAAGGAAAAATATTTCAGTTTGATTTGAGTGTAAAGTCAACATGAAGTGACATCATTTTGAATTTTAGATGAAATGAAACTCCATGAAAGTTCACCTTAAAAAATGAGATTTCACAAAATGCACCTTTGTAATATCCATTTGGGCTTTTAAACCAATTTTAGTGTTCATTTTTGTTCAACTAATTTGGCTACATTTTATTAACTTGCTCATTTGAACACTCTTAGATTTTCCATACTAGATACAGAATTGTGATAGGCTGAGAAAACATTGTTCCTGCCAGTAGGAGAATTATCTATGACTAAAACCCACATATCCACAAACCAAATGGGAAAATGGATATGTTTTTAATAAGTGGATATGTAAAAACTGGGAGGTGAAGGAAAACCTCTTTTTTTTAATGCAAACATTTGTAGAGTATTCCCCCCACCCCGGAAAAGTGGACCATCTTGTTCTTTGTGTGTTTTTTTTTTTTTTTTTTTTGACAGAGAGAGAGATGGCAAGAGCAGGAACACAAGAGGGGGAGTGGGAGAGGGAGAAGCAGGCTTCCCGCCGAGCAGGGAGCCCGATGCGGGGCTCGATCCCAGGACCCCGGGATCATGACCTGAGCCGAAGGCAGACGCTTAACGACTGAACCACCCAGGCGCCCCTCTTTGTGTTTTTTTCTACAAATGTAAGGGCTTTGGCTCAGTTGAATAAATTCTGACATTTGAATGTCTATCCTTTGTAGTACAGACTAATATTTACCACCAGAGAGCGGGGCCTTTGTATATTAAGAAGTCCTGAGGGACCATTGGATTGTTCTCTATTTGAGCAGGATCTTCAGCCTTTACCTCAAAGTTTATTTTGTCCCATTATTGGTTGGGGGAAAAATGTAAAGGAGTAATATATGTATCTGACTAAGTATGTACAGTGCAATAGAGGCTTGAAAAACCGGACTGCTCTCTCCATTCATTCCTTGTTCTTTTAATGATCTATTGAGATGATCGGCTTAGAGATGTTTAAGGAGGGCTGGGGAAAGCTCAGACAGATGCACTGTACTTTGTACGATTGTTTTTGTATGTGTTCCCTCTGGGTAAAAAAAAAATAATAAAAGTTTTCTTTCCTAAAGATTTTGTACACAAAATTTATGATAATCTCTTCCAGGTCCATTATTTTATGCAGGAAAATTACCAGAGTTCCATCTCTGCTCCCTCGCTCCTCTCAGTAATGACCTTTTAGTAATTAAGCTCTTATCTTTCAGAGCAAGGGGGAAAAAAAATCCAAAACTGAAAAAATGAAGTGAAGTTGTAAACCCGAGGTGACTCCAGCCTCCACCCCCTTTCTCCCCAGTATTGAGAATTGAATGTGTTTTTGCTTTTCCCCTTGGCAAGTGTCTCTAAAGTAAAAGAGGGTGGAAGATATAGTTGGTGTTTTACTCTGACAGTGTGATTATGAAAGGCCCGTTTGGGATACAAAGGGAAGGATACAGTTTAATAAGTGAAGAACACTTGGTGTAATATGCCTGGAGTCAGTGTCTGCCACTAATTCCATTAGTATTCCATTAGTGTTCCATTTGAAATCTAACTAAACTCAACATGGAGCCGGAAGTTGGTACAGTAGTTCTTCTCTGACTCTCTGTTGCAGTTAATTTGCTTTGTGAAATTATATAGCAAACATAATCAGGGTTACATAAAAGGGAAAATGCTACTTTACGGCTTTTCACTTTCTAAATCTGTTTTTGAATTTTTCCTTTGGTGCATTTCAGCTAGTTTCTAAGAAGTTCAGTGTGGATATTTTTGTAGTTTGGGCTTCAGACTTTCTTTTTCCTCAGCCTACCTTCTGTTTTATTAAGTTAAGCAGATCTTTTTTTTTTTAAATTTTTTTATTGTTATGTTAATCACCATACATTATATCATTAGTTTTTGAGTTAGATCATTTATATTCAGTTCCAACAAGAATACAGCATTGACAGCATCATTAGTTTTTGATGTAGTGTTCCATGATTCATTGTTTGCGTATAACACCCAGTGCTCCATGCAGAACATGCCCTCTTCAATACCCATCACCAGGCTAACCCATCCTCCCACCCCCCTCCCCTCTAGAACCCTCAGTTTGTTTTTCAGAGTCCATCGTCTCTCATGGTTCGTCTCCCCCTCTGATTTCCCCCCCTTCATTCTTCCCCTCCTGCTATCTTCTTTTTTTTTTTTTTCTTAACATATATTGCATTATTTGTTTCAGAGGTACAGATCTGAGATTCAACAGTCTTGCACAATTCACAGCAAGTTAAGCAGATCTTTTGTGATGAAAATGTGCTTTGGCAGCATTGTTGTATAATCTTCTTGGAATGTAAAATGGAAATTGTGTGTTGAAACGTTCATCTGTGAACTCACCCATGAGGTTGAGAATCATGATAAAGCATTCAGATTTTAAGGGAATATAATCATCTGACAGAGAGTACTCTGTGGTCTGAGGAAATAATGGTTTTGCTAAGGTTTGGAGGAAGGTGGTATCTTCGGACCCATTTTCCATATCCTTAACTTATGATCTAATAAAAGCTAAGTGCAGCTTTAGTGGTACTTTAATTTTCCATAGTGTTATGTCAGTTCTCAGCAAAACCATCATGCACTGAGCACCAGAATTTCATGCTAAGACAAACTGTCATAAAATGCTAATACAGAACTCAATAGAATGCACAAAAATGATACTAAAAACTAGCATCCAGTTTGGACCCTAAGGGTTTTGTTCTAGGCCTGGAAAGATATTGCTTCTTATATATGTATTTCAGTGAGCATCCAAGATTAGAAACATACAGATATGTTTGTGTGTGTGTGTGTGTGGTGTGTGTGTGTGTGTGTGTGTGTGTGTGTGGCCGAGGGGGTGGGGGGGAGCTGAAAAATGGTCCTTAAGTAACAGGAATATCAACTTGATGTTGATATCTGTGATTCTTCTTGGTGAATGAACTATCAGAGCTTGGAAGTGAGAGGTGAATATCAGCTGTTTTTAGCGCCTAGAAGTAAAGTGACCCCCTTCCAGTTGGTTAAGTAGCATCATTAACCTCCCATAAACAAGCAGTTTACTAACTCAAAACACCAGCATGTGTTAATGGTGGTTTCTGAGGTTTGTACTGAAAGCAGGGGAATCTCAATATGAGGACTCCCAGGCCTCAGTGGTTCAGTTTACTACCTGTCCCACCCCCTGTATTGTCACAGCCTGAAATGTATAAATTATCAGTCTGTCTTGGGAATGACTAAGTTGCAGTCACTTGAGAAAGCTCCCCAATTCAAAAGTGTTAGATGTGAAGTGTCTACCTTTGTCAGGTTGGTGTCACACGGGATATGGTTCCTTTTGTTTAATATTCTACAGCCTTGGGCTGTAGAAGGCAGAGTCATTTTCAAAAGGGAAAACGTGGTGAAAGAAAACCCTTTACGTTAGCCTCAAGCACTTGCAAGTTCGTGAGGGTTTTGCGTAACTTGCATGTACTTGGGAACCATTTTGTCTGATTTTATGACAGAATTTCCCCCCCAAAGAACAAAACCTGGGAGAATTGATAAGTTGTTAACAGAATGGTCTGGAGAGGGTATTCTACTTCCTGAATTTTTAATGGGTAGGAAGCCATCTGCTTCTCCATATGGAAGTGTTATCCTCCCCTGCGTGAAGCCAGCACAGTTAGAAATCAGAGCCACAGGGGGAGGCAACCTTCTTGCTCCTCACTGCTTGACCTTTTATAGAATTAATACAGCTCTTACTTCATTTAGAGTTCAGATTTCCTATTGTTACAGCTAAGGCCACCTAACTCAGAGAATGAGCACTGAGCACCTGAAGAAAGATTTTCAAGTGGATAGATGTTCAAGTTTTATTTCAGTAAAATGGTGTATTAAGGTAGTAAGCTGCCTCTTCTTTTAATTTAAAATATTTTCATTGTGTTTTATTAAGTGAAGCATAACAAATGCTAGAAATATTTTCCTTACTTTTCAGTGATCCCCCCGAAACCTCGTAGCTATTCGTTCTCCCTCTTCCTTGGGGTTTTATTTATTTATTTAATTTATTTATTTTATTTTTTATTTTTCCTTGGGATGTTAAAAAGTGGTTTTCCTTTTGTGTGTGCTTTCTGTTTGTTTGGCTTTAGACATAAGCGACTACTCCGTGGACGACGACTGCTTAGTGAAGCTGCTGAAGGGCTGTTGCCTGAAGAACCTACAGCGGCCCCTGCAGGCCGAACTGTGCTTCAATCACGTCATCCAAAGGTACAGACAAACTAGGAGGCCGAGCGGAGTGCAGATTGCGGTTTCCAGGGAATTGCTGGGAGAGAGTGACGTGCTCTCCTGCTGCGAGTGTTCGCTGTTACCAGGAAGAGAATCCAGTAGTGCTCTCTTTGTCCTTTGAGAGCAGACTTGGAGCCTAAGTAGAACATGGCTTTATGCATTTCTACTTGGGGTTGAAGGGGAACACTAAGTTCCATGAAAACTAAACCCTAGCTTAGGTGAGAATGTCAGAGGACTGGTGAGGACTGGTGTCCTTATAAAGAGGAAAGGGACCATGTCTTTTTCCCAAATAAGTAATCTACTGTTTTTAGTAAACATGTTAAAGAAATAGCCATTGATAAAAAAAAAAAATTAAAAAAAAAGTATCCATTGAATTCAATTTTACTGGTGTTTCTGGAAGGATCAAAAGGATGACCCATTTGAGCTATGTGTCGAATCTACAGTGAATTGTTTGCTCATGTGTTTTGTAATTTTGGATCGTGAGCTCCCCTTCAGTGGGGTTTTATCTCGAGACACCTATGAGGCTAGGATGGAAGAAGAGTCTCTAAAGTGATTTTGATTTTATTTCTGCCAGGTGCCCCCAAAACTTTTTCAGCCGAGGCCCACTTTCATGTTAATGTCATTGCCTAGAGGTTCTTGGATCCTTTGGGCCATGTAAACTTGAATTGCAAATTCATGTGAGGACAAGCCTATTGGTTATTAATTTCCCATGGAATGTGTTTTTTCCTTCCAACCTGGATGCAGGCCGAGGTGCCAAGTGCCCTTGGCTTCCTCCTATGCCAGGGAGTGGGTTTTTCTAATCTGCCCTTTCTCTGATGGAGATTGGCCCCAGCTTTATATAGAGGTCTCAGGCTCTGCTCTTCTGTGGACTCAAGGCCTCATCTACGTGGACACTGAGATATAAAGCCCTGGTTGATTAAGGCCGAAACAGATCCCAGGACTACTTTGACATCATCCACACACTTAGAGTTCTGGCTTTGTTTTGTTTTCAGTTTGAGAGTTTTTCTTATGTTCTTGTGAGCTTAGTTATGCATTTGGAAGGGCATTACTTATATATATATTTTTTATTGCTTCTTGATGTTTTATGGTCAGATTTCATAATATTGCTGAAAACAGAAGTGTCGACCACTTATTTATTGACTATTTTTTTAGCCTTATAGGACTTAACAATATAAGGTAATACAGTGTTTTTATTTCATAGCCTTGTGCTCGCTTCGGCAGCACATATACTAAAATATTTCTTAGCCTTATAAGACTTAACAATATAAAGTAATACAGTGTTCTTATTTCTAAATGGAGTCATTTCCTGAACACATTCATTTTTTAGGAGGATGACTTTGTCCTTTCCAGGGTTAATCTTTGAAGATCTGCATGCATTCATCTTCCTAAGGGTCATAAACAATGCTCAGTACTGGATTTAGATCAAAGAATAAAATAAAAGATGAATATATTCAAAACAAACTATTTATTGCCATCATTTATTAGATTCCTTGATTGTATAATGACAGTTCTCTCTGGTAATAGGCTTAGTGCTGCACCTGTTTTCTGAGGAATGGGGAAAGTACATACATTGAAAAAGAATGATTTGTTTCTTGTTCTGTTAAGACTTAATCGCTTTTCTTTCACTCTTTTAGTGAAAAGCTACTGAAGTATGATCACTATCTAGTGCCATTTACTCTGTTTGAGTTGGCCTTTTTGTACAAAAGCCAAGGGGAAATTGACAAGGCCATAAAGACCCTAGAAACTGCAAGGTAAGTGACGATGGCAGCTTTTCCTGCTTGCTATGGAGTCAGGAACATCCACAGTAGTGAAACCACAGCAGAAATATTATATACTTAGAAGTTAAAACATGAATGAAAAATTAGTAATAATGTTATGCTCATGACTTTTGCTGTAGTTGTGCTATTTCCAGCCTTTTTAATGCCTGGCCCTGTGACTGTTTACAAGTGTTGTGATTGTGGGCATCTCTATGCCAGACTTCTAACCTATTCTCTTCTGGATTGGGGTTGGCAGATGTTTTCTGTAAAGGGCCAGATAGTAAGTATATTTGGTTTTACAGTATAAGGTCTCATTGCAACTTCTAATTGTATTGAAGCAGCCACAGAAGACAGCTTGTAAATAAATGGGTATATCTGGATTTGGCCATTATTTGGGTCACAGTTTGCTGACCCTTGGTGTCTTCAACCATATCTCTCGTTTCCCTGAAGAGCCGCTGATTGGAAGAAGCCCTCTGGATCTTTCCCTGGCTCTCTTTTCTTTCTGTCTACTGTGGTAATTTCAAAGCATTTTCATTTCTGCTAGACAGTGGTTCTCAGACTTGTGATCACGGCTCACTTAAAACCCTGTGGTCTGTTTGCCTTGAATACTTCTTACAGGGAGAAAGAATGACGTAATAGCTTTAAGCCATAAATAGCTTAGTGATTCATTGGTTTGTTCATTTACTCAAATTCAGCGAGTATTCACTGAGCACTTATTATGTGCCAGACTCTAGTAAAGGCTCTAGACAGACATCTGTACATAAACAGGCAACGTTTCCTCTTGCTTAGTTAGAGGGAGATGTTGAATAAGCCAACAAGTAGGAAAACCAGCAATGGTATATGCTTTGCTGAGATTTATAGTACGATACAGAGTCCCTGGGTATTACCTTAAATTGAGTTGAGTCTGGAAGGTTTCCTTGAAGAGATGGTATTGTAGTTGAGATTTGCATATTTAAAGCCAGTCTTGAGAAGATCAGTCACCAAAAGACTGGGTGGGGAGCATTCCTGGCTGAAGCCACAGCTAGGAAACCTATAAACTGGACGGTTGAGCCACTAGATAGTACATGATGCTCTTTACTGAAATGGGGTATGCTTAGAAGAGCAGGTTCCAGGAAAGGAGAAAACATACTTCTGTTTAGGAGCATGGGATTTTGAGGTGCTCGTTGGGTGTCCATGTGGAGATGGACAAAATATACAAGCATGGAGTTCAGTGGAAACATCAAGGCTGAATGTAGAGATTTCAAAGTCACCTGCACAGAGACAGTGATATTTAAAGCCATGATACTTGAAGTGATTCTGGGAAAATAATATAACTAGAGAGAAAGGTTCAGCACAGAGCCTTGGGATATGCCATCATTTTAGACATGAAACAATAAGATTAAGAAGAAGTGGCCAGTGAGTTAGGAAAACATGCGGGAAAGCCAAGTGAACAAAGTGTTTCAAAGAGAAGCGAGCGGTCATTTGTGAGGATGGCTGCTGAGAGGTCAAGCAAGGTGAGTCCAGAGAAGTGGCTGCTGAACCTGGCAGCATGAAGATCATCAGTGACTTTGACCTGTGAGGGGAGAAAATGGAGTCAGCTACTTAAGGCAACTTTTCAGGATGTTTTGCTGTGAATAAAGCCTAGTAATGGGAAAGAAGCTTTGGGGGCATCACGGAACCGAGAGAGGGTGCTGCTGCTGCTAATTTTTTTAAAGGGTGATACTAGGGGCGCCTGGGGGACTCAGTCAGGTGGGCATCTGCCTTCGGCTCAGGTCATGATCCCGGGGTCCTGGGATGGAGCCCCGCATCGGACTCCCTGCTCCACGGGGAGCCTGCTTCTCCCTCTCCCTCTGTTGTTCCCCCTGCTTGTGCTCTCCCTCTCTCTCTACAAATAAATAAAAATCTTTAAAAAAAAATAAAGGGTGATATCAGAGTGAGTCACTTTTAAAGCTAATTTTGTTGAGAGTGAGAATGACTCATATTTCAGCTGACATATATGTATCTTCAAATCTAGCTATTGGAAAATTAGGGACTCTCATTATGTTGTTTGCAGTATTCATTGTTTGGACCTACTTGGTGTTACCTAAGCAATGCACAATAAGACAAATTTATAATGATGAAAATAAAAGATTGGTAATTCACTACTACAAAGGAAGACCACCAGTGATCAAAAGTCACCACTAACTCAAGCCCAGTGCTAATGAGGCCACCGTAAACAGACTTCCCAATAATTTCAAGACTTTCAGTTGTCTGCATTTTCCCTTCTTCTGTTGGAGCTTCTCAAAGTTGCCAAAATTAGTGGCCAGGCATTTAGGAAAATACCCAGTTACATCCTCTGGTAACCCATATTGTGAATAGTAACCCTTATCAAGGTTACCAGTGAGCAGCTCTTAGCCCTCTCTAAAATGAAGGGCTGTAGAAGGACAGTATTGCCATGCAAAGGAGTTACAGTTCATCCACATGCCCAGGTGGTGTGTGAAAGCAGGAGCCCAAAGTCAAAGCCATTCCGCTGTGCCGATTCTTAACAATTCGAGCAGACAGAAGTGAACACGGATGAGCTAAGTAAACGTTTTAACTAATCTGCGGATTTCTATGGCCCCTTCTGACATTGTCCCACAACTGTTGGCCAAACGATTGATATTTGCCTGTGAGAATTGGAGTAAGTAATTTTGGTATCACCACAGAATCCTGATTTCTTTGTTGTAGTTGTTTCATGAGGGTTTCAGCGTGATTTCTCTGGGGCGGGGGGGTGGTGATTGATAATGTTCACGTGAAGCTGCCTTAAAATTCCTGGTTTAGAGAAGGAAGTCAACTATTTAGGAATAGTTCACAAAATTTGTTAAACCCTCTTCATAAGCTTCTGGCTGTGTTTGTGAATGGCTTGGTCATTAAATAGGAACTTGCTACTCAAAGTATGACTTTCAAATCACTGCCAGGAAGCTTCTAGAAATAGAGAATATTGCCATCCTCCTTCGCTCACAGGATTGGAATCTACATTTTAACAAGATCTGCTGTTAATGCATATTCACGTTTGGAAGCAAATAAGGAATGAAGATGAGAAGAAGGGGAGGTGGTGATGTTTCCCTTGGATACAAAGGGATTTTGACATTACAATTTCATTGTTATTTTCTTTAGAAACAACTACAAAGATTACTCCATGGAGTCCAGGCTACACTTCCGAATTCAGGCAGCTCTTCACCTCTGGAAAAAAACTTCCTCTGATTGATCAGAACACGAAGGATGGAGTTTCCCCTCAGTTAGCACTGACATATGCTCTAGATTAGACCTTGTATTAAAGTGGAAAAGTGATCTTGTGAATGAGAGACAAAAAACTAATTTTATTGTCAATATTTTTTATCATCTGTATGGTTTACTGTTGGTCTGCATAAATGTTTTTTTTTCCTATGAAACGATGTTCAATGTTCAGTACTGTCTAGAAAATTCTTATATTTTGCCTCTCCAAAAAGAATTTCATATTAGATTTGAATTGGAGAGTAAAGAAGTCTTTTAAAGGACTCACAGGTACAATAAAGTCTGATTAGATTATTTATTTTTTTAATGTGGAAATTTATGTTTAAGTAGCAAAGCGCTGATAAGTTGAGCCATTTTTAGATTTGTTGGTCAGAGATATTTTGTTGCCTAGTATTTAAATTTAAGAGGGGAAATAAAAATCACCTACATTCAAAATAGATTAACAATAACCTGAAGTCTCCTGAACAAGACAGGCAGTGGGTGTGAATAGGGAGGGATAGGATAGTGTCCTTAATGGGTTGAAGGGAACTGTATCTAGAAAAGATGGTGAAATATTAGGTTTTGGGGTTTTTTTATTCTTCATGTAAGTTAAAGGTGGTGACATTTTTGAGTGACTATCCTTTTTTTGAATGTACTTAAATCTATTATAACAACAAAATTCAAAAAACTCTGTCTAAAGGGAAGAAAAAGTCATATTTTAGGAATTATCCTCAACCTTAGCCATGAGAGTCTAAAATACATACGTTGATTATTTTTTCTATAGGAAGCAAAGTTTCTGCTGCTTTAAATGGTATGTAAAATATCAATAATTTTTATACTCATGATGTTGGTGAGTAAGATCTAATTTTCTAATCTATCTAGCACTGTGATGGTTCCTTGTAAATATCTGGACCACGCTTTGTCCTTTATCTGGGAAACACAATCAGGGCAGAATGCGGGGGAGAGCCTGGCTCTGGTACTGCTTAGCAGTCACTGAGGTGACCTTTAGGGAGCCCCCTGCCCTCTGCATCAGCATATTTTCCTCATCTGTGAAATGGAAAAAGAACAGATGAATTTTCAAGGTCTCTTTTGGTTTTGTAACTGTGAGTCTGTGTATTAGGCATTTTCATAAATGTATACTGTTTATCTCAAGCTGTTAGCACAAAGTGCGTGTCTTATTCTACAGTCATCTCTGTCTACCCCCACTCCGCCCCCCATATGTTGGGGTTAATGACAGGATTGCATCCAGGGCAAGGAAAAATAATTCATGGATCCATAAATCAGGGTGTGGTCCTATTTCTGTTCTATTTTGAAGAGTAACTTATCATGGAAACCTCTGTAGTTTAACAGAACATCCCCAGATTGGGATCTGGAGCCCACCTGTGGTAGTCCGTCGTTCCTTGACGTGGATGGAGTAAGTCCTTCATTCTTTCTGTGACTCCATTTCCCCAGGAGGGGGGGGCGCGAAAGCAACACAACTGCTTGGTGCTCGTGGTGGCTCAATTGGATGATGCGTAGGATAGCTTTTGGTAAACTGTGAAAGTCTATATGAATATATGAGTTGCCGTAATAATTATGGTTTTTATGCACTGATTACAATACCAACACAAAAATATTGGCTGAGTTTGTGGCCTCTGCTGTAAAATGAAGGAAGTGCAGAAATTCAAGCACCTTTAAATTTATTCATGTGTTTGTCACTGACAATAACCCAGATTATGAATTTGCTCCTTGCTGTTCATTCCCTGCTACGTGAGTCTGTACCCGGCAGGTATTTTGGTCTTGTTTTCTTTAAGGTGCTAATTCTTGACCAATACTGAAGATACGTTTCCAGTGGAAGATGATTAATACAACTTGAGTCAGAGAACTAGCCCTTCAGAGAGCATGGTGGGAGCTCTCACTATGTGCTATTAATATGAATTACGTAGCTTTATTTTAGGTCCAGGCGAGAGGAAATAAAATGAACTGTTATTACAATATCAGCAGTGGAAATATGTTTAATAATTATTTTGTATACAACTTGAGAAATAGGTTATAAATTCCATAGAAGAGCTTTGGTAGCATTACTTTTTTAAAGTATAAATACACCCACGTTGTTTTTGTGAGAAGCTGCAGGTCAGAGCGAAAGTCAGTAAAAACTTATCTTTCTGGTATAATTTGAAAACTGTATGAGCTATTGCGGTTATTTTTATTTTATTTTAACTCTGCATTACCAAACAAATATAAAAGAAATTCCTGTATCTCATTAAAATTTGTCTTTTATTTTTTTCTTCTATTGTTTTTATTTTTACTTCCTCTTTTTTTTTTTT